CAGATGTCAAACAAATAAACTAAGGACTTTTAGAAGTCAGCCCCGTTTAGGGAAGTTTGATGCTTTATTGTGATTTTATAATTTGTTGAAAGCCACCCAGATTGGCTGGGACAACCCAGTCTGTTGTTGTTGTTGTTGTTGAAAAATGTCACCCAACAGAATTTGTATCAAATACAGTGTGCTTCCACTGCACATAAAGATTAACACCTGGGGCCCGGTTAGCAGATCCTGTTAATCCTATTGATTTCATTGGGATTTACTACCAAATAAGTGTTCATAATATTACTGCAGTCTTTGGATTGCATCCAGTTAATCTCTTCTCAGAGCAGACCTGTATGAATTGGTAGACCAATATTAGTCATGCCTATTCAGAGGCAGTAAACAATGGCATGGTGGGGTTATACTGCCCTCTCATGCCTGAAGGCAGGAGATGCAGTAAGATCTTTGTCAGTAACCATCAGCCAACGCCTCAGTCCATTTCTTGCCTTGGCCCAGAGTGGCTGTGTGTTCTTATCCTCCCAACAGTCCACAATGAGAATTGTTAATGGTTATTTGTGCCTCCTTATGTTAGTCAGTGTCAGAGTGAGTGTATAGTCTCTGTTCTACTGTATATTACATGATTAGTCACATGATAATAGACTGGAATGACAGCTCTCTCTGACTTTGAGTGGTAGACTCCAGTTGCTGATTTTTGACAGGGGAAGCTGGGAGGATCAACACAGCTAATATATTGCAAAGCAAGAGAATAAAATGTGCATCTTGGAAAGGTCTACGGGTAACACACTCTTCTCATTCTACACTCTGCTTCTTTGAGTTCTGGAGCCAAAAAGGGTTTAAAAGGATCTGAAATCACATTGGTATCAGATGACTTTCCAGGAGCTAACACCCTTTTACGACTTGAAACCTGCCCTCTAGGCACTGCATGAGGATCTGAAGCGACACTGGCAACCTAATTATGATTTGCTTCATGAATTTCCATAAGGATGTAAAGGTTTTCCATGGAAGTGACCCTGCAATATTTATATCTGGAGGCATTTCCAGGGGTATCAGAGCACCCAAATTTGCTTTCTTGAACAGCTGCAGTCCAAAATGAATGAATCAATAGAATTGCAGTAAGCATTCATCAGAGAGTTGAAGGGCTGCTCTTTGTAGAGCACTAAGATGACCATGTATTTTTCAAGTTTCATGAGGCACAATTGCTTCTCTTTTTACCATTGTTTCCCCTTGGGGCCTGAAGCCAGCTCCCCTTAGAGCATCCTTGGGGATCCTGCCATCTTCCATTCTGTGGACATGACCAAGCCAGTGTAGACATTGCTGAGGCAGATGTGTGACCATGCTTGGGAATGTGGGCTTGGAAGAGCACATATTTTTGAGTCTGTTGTGCCGAAATCTTCCTGACACAGTGCTTACGGAAGGCACTGAGGCGTCGCTCCTGTCGGTTGTAAGTTGCCCGTGACTCACTTCCATAAAGCAGTGCACTCAACACACAAGCTTGTTAGACCTTCATATTGGTATTGGTCGTAAGCATCGCATTCTCCCAGACCCTTTTGGAGAGGTGAGCCATTGCTGGAGCTGCCTTGCCCAATACACTTGTCCAGCTCAGCATCAGTGGAGAGGTTTCTGGTTATGGTGGAGCCCAGGTAGACAAAATTGTCTACCACCTCAAGTGTGTGATCACCAAAGCTGATGCATGGAGTGCTGGCAATGTCCTGACCCAAGATGTTGGCCTTGGGTCAGGCTGATGGTGAGGAAGCACTTGCAAAGCCTTCCTAGACCATCGTAGATGCTACCAAGCAGGGAAACGCCTGCGTTTTTGTGGATCCCATGAAGCATATATTATTTCACTCAGTACGTACCAGAATCTCCACAGAAAACTTGGGTGGGCTTCTGAAAGGCATGAGACTATTAATATCAAGGTTGTGGTTCAAGTCTCATATTGGGCAAAAGATTCTTGCGTTGCAGGGAGTTGAACTAGATAATGCTTGTGATCCTTTCCAACGCTACAATTCTATGATTCTAAGTGTTCATCAAACTCACTTTTCAGAGTTTTTGCCAGGGCTGATTACTTACCTCTTGGTTCTGGCCTTCATCTGCAAGCAGTGTGCATGTTTTTCTAGTTGCCTAACTGGTGCAGCCAGCTTATATTTTCACTAAAAATTTGAAAATACCCATGTGACCTTACAATGCAGTTAGTGTGTTTTCTAGCAAGGTGGCCAACTATTTATCAAACTCCATGCCTCTTTGGCAGGGATGTGAAGGCTTAGTGTTGATTGCAAAGGGGTGGATCTCTTCCATGGGGTCCACAAAGTTTTTCCTTAATGTGGAAGGATGCCTCAGTGTCAGAATTGTACCTTAGGCAGCCTTACTGGAGAAGTACAGTCAAGGCGGACTAGGCTGCAGAACAGTCACTTAGGACAGCATGTCTAGATGTGCTGGAAGAAGCCATGGTGCAGTCATCGCCAAGTCGATTATTTCCAATAACCATGACAAACCTGGCCAGAATACGGCAATAGTACCACTATATTGCGTACTTTCTACATCCTTTTGCACCATCAGTGGCAGAAAGGACACTTGAAGCCTATGGTGAGTACAGAGCAGTGGTCGAGAATGGTGCCTTCTATTACTTGCAGTTTTCCCCCTTGAAAATCTCTTTTAATTGCCTAAAAACATACGACGAGCCGGCTGAGTCAAGCCAATGGGAATTCTTCAAGCAGGATTTGAGCACAAGAGTTTTCTCATATGATGAGTTGCTGCCATCTGGTGGTGGGAGGATATTGTATGAATAATCCTTGCAGCAGTGAAATGCTAAAACGTGCTGAAAACAGATCTAACATATTAAGTGTAGTGCAAGTGGTTTGAGCAGACATTTGCTGCTCTGAACATGCTCTGGAATGTATGTTCAAACTGCATCTACCACGATTACAATGCTTTGTCTGTGTTCACCCAGAAAGGAAATGAGAAAAATCAGACATAAAATGACACATCAGAAGCTTGTCATTCATGGACCTCCTGCTCCAGGGCTGATACACACTTTATTTTCTTCCTGTGTCACAGGCCTGTAACTACAGGGAGGCATTGTGGGGCAAACCCCGTCCTGGATTAGACTGGCCACAGTAGGTCACCCAGTCTCTCCAACCACCACCTTGACACTTATGGGGTAACCTGGGGTAACAACTGCCCCCGACACCATTAGGAGACTAGACTGGAGATCCTTCAGATACCCTACATTAATTCACTTTGCAGTATGTTTTCTGTTTCTCATATTTTCTTTTTATCGTTTTCCAAGACTAAAGGAAACATTACCTGATCCTAAGCATGTTGACTTGGAAGATACCTCAATATATTCATAGGTTTGCAGCTAAGGGTTAGAACTTATACACTGAAGTTACCATGTGTCAGGGAACTGGAGCCAGAGAAGTGGGAAAGAATGGGAACTTACCGGGAGAAGGGTCCTTTAATCAGTAGTTGCTCGGACGAGGAGGGTGACGAAGAGCTGTCAGGAGGTAATGAATCTGAGAGGGGGGCGGTACTTCTGGGGACAAGCCACTCTCGTCAGAGAGGAAGGAGGGGGGCTGGGCTTAGAAGGTGGCTATGCTGGGGGAAATTGAAAGGAAAGCCAGTCGGGACAACTGACTTGCCATGAAAGAGTCGAACTTTTGAACTGCTTGTACATAGCTTCAAAGGAGCAATAAATCCTGTAAATATGGCTGCTTTCCCGGACTCTTAACTTCGCTAGCACTCACAACTCATTGCTGACACCATGACTGTAATTTTGATAGAAAGTCTAGAATCATGAGCTCATCATTTTGCCCAGAGGAGGAGGTGATCAGGAAAATGGTGCAGGAAGAAAGGGTTGACAAGCTTCTGTCCGCCATGTTGCGGTTTCCTTTCAAACTGCAGGCAGAGCAATTGCATTGTGCAGGCAGTGGTAGGGACCTGGGAGATAGAAAGTTGCCTTATGCTGGTCCATTTAGCTCGGGAATGGCAACAATGAACAGCAGCCCCTCTTGAGGATTTCAGGCAGGAATTTCCCCCAGTCCTGCTTAGCAGTGCTGGGGACTGAACTTGGTACCTTCTGCAGATGCCCCATCACAGAGCTGTAGCCTTCACAACACTAAGGCCAGAGTTGCACCTCTGCCTGCTCTTGGTGATTATAAAAGGTAAAGGTACCCCTGACCATTAGGTCCAGTCGTGACCAACTCTGGGGTTGCAGTGCTCATCTCGCTTTATTGGCCGAGGGAGCCAGCGTTTGTCCGCAGACAGCTTTCGGGTCATATGGCCAGCATGACTAAGCCGTTTCTGGCGAACCAGAGCAGCGCACGGAAACGCCGTTCACCTTCCCGCCAGAGCGGTACCTATTTATCTACTTGCACTTTGACGTGCTTTCGAACTGCTAGGTTGGCAGGAGCAGGGACCGAGCAATGGGAGCTCACCCTGTCACGGGGATTCGAACTGCCGACCTTCTGATTGGCAAGTCCTAGGCTCTGTGGTTTAACCCACAGCGCCACCCGCATCCCTCTTGGCGATTAAGCTCTGCTTGCAAAAAGGCAGCAGGCAGAGGCTCCCCTTTCTCTTTGCTGTTGTGCTTAGATAAGAGATAGCATCTCTCTGTAGCTAACTGCATAGGAACTTCAGGTGACTGGCAGGTGGGTGTGGTTTGCCCCAAATGGCCTTGTGGGCCAAATTCAGAGGCCTGGTGGGCCTGATAAAGCCCACAGGCTGTTAAAAGACATTTGTCGCAAACACACACAGCCCTGTGGAACAGCTGTTGCCTTATCATTGCAACACCTGAACTACCTTAGTCTGCATTCCGGAGCATATTTCCTGTGTTTAAGAATCTTCATCTTTTGTGGCTCTGCAGTTCTGTTCTTCCCATGAACATATGCGTGATACTCTTAAACAAAACCGTTGCAATTAAAGGATTTACATGTAAGGTAAGCAGAGCCTAATTCTGCGTGCAGATGAAAATTCCATTATTAAACTGTTAAGCAGCAATTTCTGGCCTAGGCTAGTTTATTTTAGTACCATCTTTATTACTAATGTAAAATAGCCTGATATTAATATCAAATTAAATATTTTCTTTTTCTTTTTTCCAGAGCTACTTGAAAGAAATTTTAAGAGAAATAGGCATCTACAACGTTAAGGGAACACACAAAAACACGTGGGAACTTAAGCCAGAATACAGGCATTACCAAGGAGAAGATAAGAGCGATTAGCATAATTGTTAAGCCAGCAAGAAAGTTGTCAATTGTGGGAGCAGGAAGTTGCTGAACTGTTCACCCTTAAAATGCTAAGTGTTGATAATTTTTAAGAAGTCTAGCTTCATTAAAAAAAGATTCTGCAAGAAACATGTTTTGGTTCTGCAAACATATTATTTAAAGAATAAACATGCATTAGGTTTCTTTGTAATAATTGGCCTTTGATCATTTTTATTTTTTTACATTTTGTAAAAATATAACGATGTTAGTAAGGACTGGTATTATTTATTGCAGAGATGTGTTTATTTCATTACTAAAATTCTGTATGGTCCTGACCATATTATGGGTTGCTGCCCAACTTTTTGAATTATGCCTTATTAAGAAATAGAAGTGGAACATAGTTTGAATAGCTCCTGAAATGATGGGAAGAGGAAATTAATACAACACGAAAGCATTTAAGTACAGTAAGTAAAAATGACTTCTTTGTATTAAAATTATTTTGTTTCTGTATTAATAAAAGCAGTTTCTAATTTGTACAAACACAAAATGCTTCCTCTTCTGCTTTTAGATTGAAAACGTTCATGGTGGCTTTATGCCACAAGGGTCAGCTGATCAGTATTCTACATGACCAGCCATTCTAGAAATTAGGAAGAGGCAGGTGCTGCTAAGCATTACTCAGTTCCTGAGTTCATGTATTTGTTCAATTTCTGTGGGACCTTCAAACTCCTGCACTTTTTCAGTAGTGCAAACGTTCTTTTTACAGAAATTAGGAGCCAATCAGACCTTCCTTAAGAACCAGTTTAGGAGGTAAAAGATCTGACTGAGCAGATAAGCATAGGGATTTTTCACTTCATTTATTTTTCTTTGAGCAGCTGCAGATTGAAACTATAGAAGGAAGAGTTGGAGGGCGACTGACTCCTGTTCGTAACAGTGCCTGAGAGCAAGGCAAGAAGCCACGCATGTGCCCTCTTCAGTAACCTGGGACAAGAGACCAATGCACTTTTTAATCTTTATCCTGGGTCACAGTACCCTAGTTTGCATACATCAGCTGAAGTTAGCCATGCTGTTAAGCTAAATTTGATTACCAGTTGTATTTGCACACCAAGGTGCTGTTACAAACATGCCCACAGTGCCATCGTGGCTCAGGCTTTTGGAGAGACAGATTAAAAACCTTGTGCTTGTCTTCAGAGTCTACTGTTCTACCTGCAATCAAAGTTGTTAGTGTATGTAGACTTTTGAAATTTGGTCAGCTGCCTTGAATATCTTTTGTAGCAAAGCTGCTTTGAGCATCTGCTACCTTGGGGAACTGAATTGTTTAGGGTACTGCAAAAAACTATAAAGATGGTGGCAACTGAAGCAGTACGCAAAATGTGTGCGCAGAGGCTCATAGATGTGGATAACAAATATGAATCAACTGCAAAAATGGCAAAAGGGAAGAGGGAAAAGGAAATTGAGAACCCTGGCCAAGACTGTATCTGAAATACTGAGATTAAGGTCACTGTTCAGGTGGAGTCTGGAGTAGCTTCAGTGAAAGGCTGATTTCTGTAATAGTAGTCTCTGTCCACCCCCCACACCATGGGCCTCAGAACAGACTTTTTTCACATGAACCAAAGGTGTTGGATGAAGAGTGGTATATATATATATATAATAACTAAAACACAAATACTTTAGCAGGCCATTGCTGCATCTAGTTTAATTCTGTCATTTCTGCTTGCATGCAAAACGTCTGCACTTTTGCTGTGCGTTTTTGGGTACACTCTGTGTAAATTACGTTACCATCAGAGCTAAAAGTGCTTCTAGTTTTGTAGCCAGAATATGATAGCAGGATGATTTTAACAACTCTTGAAATTTTTATTTAGCCTATCCAGTGCACAAATGCAGCAGACTTTGGGCTAAGAGGACAAATATATTGCCCCCTTCTCTTGTAGATCATCCAAATTCTGTAGACGTAACACAAAAATGAGTTACTGGCAGACATGAGTGACCTTCCTTTTCTTTTTGTATTAACTGATCGAACTTTAGTCTACAGGCAGCAGCTCCCCCCCCCCTCTGCATCCTTCTCATGAACTGCTTTAGTACCAGTCAGCAGGAAAGCTTTTATTCTAAAACCTGGGGATGAGCAGAGATTGATGTAATTTGCAACAAATACCACAAACCAGTATGGTAGCAGAGTTTGCTTTTTTGTTGCACCAGCCACTGCTTTTTAAATAATGGCCTTGCTTCACTCTAGCAAGGTTATCTTTCAACACAGCTGGAAATAAGCAAATAATCACACAACCCAGAACAAGAATTTAAACATCCACTTACATTTTGAACTACCTGAAACTTGTTAATAAGGGGGAGAAAGCCATTTCCTGCAATATGGTGGGGGTTGCCCACAGGATGTTCGTATAAATTTCTGGAAAACATGTGGCATATCTGCCATCCTTTCCCTAAGCTAGTGCAGCCAAGGCCACAGTGAAATAAGCCCATACTAAACTCCCCTTCCAAGATGAGCAGCTTCCAGCTTTTCCACAGCAATGTGCATATTGAAGCAAACTGTGACTCCCACCTGCACCACCGCTCATTTTAGGCCATGTGTAGGAAACACTGAGATTTGGGAAGAACATTGTGGAGAAATTATTATACTTCAAGTAACAGCCCAAAAAACTTGTGCTATTGCAAAGTTCCCCTCTCACAGCCAATTCTCACATGTTAAGACAGCTAAATTCAGTTAAGTTTGATCCTGGGTGCACTAAATGTGTAAATTTTGTACTTTGGGCCTTATGAGACATGAATGTGTCATTAGTAAAGTGCATGGGTTCCTGAAATTTTTCAAGGTAGTGTGAAAGGCATTCTTGTAATCATAGTAGCAATATAGGAAAGTTTCAGATTCAGGGGTACAAAAAAATAACTACAAAGTTTTTCCTGTCAAATATACCAATACTTTGGCACTCTTTTTAATACACTAATTTTGTTCATTTTGGGATTATACCAGCCTGTAAGAGAAGCTTTGATGGTGGAAAACCTTTTCCAGCTCCTGCCCGCTACAAGCTATCCTCTGGAGTGAAGTGGAGCTTCACTCATGGAACAAAACTAGTGCCTTCTCCCCACCCCCACCCCCCAAAATGCCCTGGAAGCTCCCCTCAACCTTCCAGAACAGATTTTGAAGTTACAGGAAGCTGTAAGGGGCAGAGTAACAAAAGCATAGTGGGCCAGTAACTGAATTCCTTGCAGAGGAATTCATTTTTTGGGGGGAAACAGACATCCTATTAGGGATCAGTTTCTCAAAATCAAGTTAAACATGATGGAGGGGGGAATGAATCACTCCACACTGCCTGACAAAACTCTGCTTGCTTCAGCAGATAATTGGTCAATTTTTGTTTTGATGTAAAAGTAGTATCAGTGATACATCAACAAAAATAGACCACAAGCTGTACACAGTATCTGCAACCCCCTTTTCCATTCCCCCCCCCCAAATGATTTTGCTCTGAGCAGCAAGCATTCTGGTGTTACACTGTTTTTTTCATTCACAGGATGAAGCTGCTAGATGGGAAAGAGGGATAGAACAAGCATCGAAGCATCAAAGGGGAACCAAAATGAAAAACCTAAAAAGGATAACAAAACTGTACTACTAAACAGTAACACACATGCAAGACTATGTAGAAGTCTCAGGAATACACAGCCTAAGTATCTTTCTTAATACACTCTTGATACACAGCACAGCAAGCGGTCAATTAGCTGCTTGGCTACTTCCTCTACACGCCAGGTTTCCGATCTTTTTGGAAACAAGGATTCAAAACTGCTCTAGGCTCACAGTGCCAACCAGGGAAGATTCCCAAACTACTGCTACCAGTATATGTAGCACGCCAAGTCTCTCAAAGAAGCTTCCTTTTCTTTTGTCTACTAGGATGCAAACCAACTATCTTTATGGCTTCTACTACCAGTATAAATTTGTAGCAAATTTTATTGCTTTTGCCATTTTGAGATCATAGCAGCCCTCCTGATTTAAAAACCATGTTGCATTTGCTTGGCTTTGACACGCTTCTTTAACCTTGCTCCAAGCGCAAAGTTCACTTCGTATTATGCTTTGAACAATGTCATGTCAGGGGAGCAGAAAGTGGAACGATGGAAAAGGCACAGGGCTCTCATTTTTGCATCCTATGGGAACCAATTTACTTTATCATGGCCTGTCAAGCAAATGTCTCCTGACACAGCCCATAAAATATACTTCAGGACTTTGCAAACATCAGCAAAAACAGTATGATGCACATGTTGTCTACACTAATTCTTTGGACTAGTGCTTAAGGTTGCCATTACCACCACAACTAACCAATTTAGGCTTTGATAAACCACAAAGATTATTAGTGTCCTGTGATTAAAACCAGTACTACTTTTCCATTTTAAGTTATAATTACTTTGAACTACAGCCTCTTGTGTGCAGACTCCCTGCCTAAAATGCTTGTTTCTGCCACCAAAGATTGCTGTTCCATTGCTTCTGCCTTAGTCATAATTTGCCATGATAAACTGATGAAATCCATCTCTCCTTGACTGGTTCAGAACTCTAATCAGCAGTCTGTATTCAGTCTTCCAATTCTGTCCTCCAGCTAGCTATTGTGGTTTGTTGAACAGCAGGAAACTCGGTCCATTTCAGAATGAAAGCCTTCTTCTCTACTAATCATTTTCAGGTGTTTAGAAGCAAGTCAGTTGTAGCCGGCTCATCTTCCAGTTCTAGGTCACCAGTATCGGACGACAGTCTGACACATGCGTTAGGCCAGGCTATGCTACTGAAGTCAAAAATCCAAATGCACAAGAGCTACAAGAAGCTTGCTGGAGAACCCTGCTGAATGCATTAAACCAAGAGGCATTATCTATGCTGGGTTTAAATGAGTTTTTCTTTATTTTAGACAGCCTACATGACAAGTTTTTAAAAACCAATGCCTCCACTCCAATTAATTCAGGGTCAAAATAAATCAAATTAAGCTCAAGATGGCATCAGTCCAGTTTTCAAACAATGCTGAGTCATGATGTTTTGTTGATGAATAAAGAACAGCAGCCAATTATGATGATGATAGATGATCCAGAAGGGTTGGTCTCTTGTTACTGTTAAGAAATTAATGAGAGTTAGCCTATGCTTGTACCAATTCCTTACGTCATCATTAAATATTCACTCTCTTAAATGTTCTCCCTTATTCAATCTGAGTTGCCACGTTTATCAGGCACACAGAAAGCGCAAGGAAATTGCTGTTGCATCTTTATGCAAGCTAGAGAGCAAAAGTAGTTGTTCCCAGCCTATCAGCAGATGCTTAACATTCAGAACTTGCATCTCAACTCCTTCCCTAAGGCACTGTTTGAGAGGGTACCAGTCTTGATTAGTATTCACGGAAAGGGGGTAATGGTTTCAACAGCCATATCAAAATACAGCCAATAAATGTTTTGGTTTGATATTAAGCGAAGTGCGGTGGTCAACAAAGCTTTACTCAGAGTAGACCTACTGGAATTAATGAGCATGACTGCTAAAATACCTCCCGAGATTTAAATCTAGCAACAGCATTTTTTTAAAAAAAAAAAAAAATCTAACAATCCACACCGTTTGCATTTTCTGTTCTTACCCCTGTCCACCTGAATGATTTGGTCTTCTATTTAAGCCATTGGCAGGAGAGCCTCAACTTAAGAGAGGCCTACACTTTCCCCACACTCCTGACTAGCTAGCTTAAAAACAGAAGAGCGAACCCAAGCACTTTTTTGGCTGGGGAGTCCAGCCACCATCTTCCCTAAAGAATCTCCCACCAGCAGGGCAGAAAATGCATATGCTAAGCTGTATGGAAGACTGGTCAATAGCTCAATAGTTTGTCTTCTATCAGCGTTGTTAACTGAGAAATGAAAGATTTTTTTTTATAGAACTCTGGGGAAATCTAGAAAGTTAAACTAAGAGGCTATTGAACTTGTTCACACATGAACCGAGAATCAATAGTAAGCAACAAGGTAGCCTAGTTTGTAACAGACACCAAATTATTCGGGATACTGAAAACCCAAACTGCAAAAAAGTTGAAAAGGGATCTCCAAGCTAGATGAATAAGCAAAAATTTAAAAATGGAGAATGAAGTTCAGAGTAAGACTTAAAAAACACTGCATTCAGGGCAAATAACCATCCCAGCTTCATACAAACTGATGGGAGAGTAAACTGGCTGTGACAAAGGATGTGTCCTTTGAGTTGGAGTAGATAGTTCTGAAGTACAGAACTTCAGAACTTCCAGTATCACTCTACCCTTAAGAATTAAGGGTGCAGCCTCATTCACAAAGGTGTACAAACCTCTGGTTGCACAATCTCAAAAAGGATACTACAGAGCTAGGAAAGTTGATAGAAAAGGCGGTATCATTTGGGCTTTTCTTTTTTTCCCATGGAAAATGCAGGAAAGATGTTAGAATTTCAGAGATATGAGTGAGTGGCGTGGAGAAAGCATATTTATTTTTTCTTCCTCTAGTGCTTGGCCACACAATTCATCACCAGTACGCAGACAAAAGCTACTACTTACAACACTCTATGAAATTTCCTCCCACTAGATATTATGATTACCAGAAGCTTAGATGGCTTTTCAGGCATGTCCAAAGTCTATTTGGGGGGCCTAATCCAGCCCCATGCTAGTATATGTCCTTGGGTAAAATCCTAAAAAAGTGTTTTTTTAAAAAAGCTCCACAACTTCAATCCTAAAAAAAAGCTGGTCGGCCCTCACACATGTTCACTTAATCAAATCTGGCCCTCTTTGAAAAAAGTTTGGGCACCCCTGGATTAGGTGAACTCCTGAAGCAGATACCAATGGCTATTAAGATGCGATTAGGTAAGTAGAATCTCCAGGTTCAGAGGCAGTCTGCTACAGAACACAAGTTTCTGGGAGAACAACGGCTGTTCCCTCATGTACCTGGCTGGTTAGTTGAAAATGCTGGACTAGATGGACACAGGGTTTCGTTTCTGCAGCAAATCACCCCATTTATCAGCAAGCAAAATTTAAAACCGCACAAGATCTTGGCAAGTTCTCTCGGGAATTTATACTTACACATTTCTCCATTTCTAATCCATCCTTAAAGAAAATCATATAAGGAGTGATACCATCCTCACGGAAATCCAGCAACGCCACCATTCCATCTGGATTCATGTTCTCGCCTACAAAAAACTTTCAGAAGAAAAAAAAATCTGTTGATGCAACTAAGTTCCCAGAAAGCACTAATATTCACTCACATAACAATGCACATTTCCTTGGCTCAAGCATCAGGCACTTCCCACAAAATGCCAGTCTTAAAACAAGCAGCAAAAGCTACTTCACAGTATGCAAGTACCGAAAATATGTTACAAAAAAGAGGAAGCTTTGGAACTTACCTGGTAATTTTTGAAGTTTGCAAGGATATGTTTGACTTGTTCAGCTGCTCCAGTCATGAACGGCTTTACTCTCTCTGGCTTTGTTTCCTCAAGTCTTGCTTTGATTCTAGGGGAAAAACACCAACAATTCTGACACCTGCAATTTAACTAGTTTGAGGATTGTGCCCAAAAGTTTCTAATAGCTGATCTGAAAGGAAAACACTGCATTGCTTTTTACTGCTCCCCTGCATGGATAGTGCTTTACTTTATCTGCCAGTTTTAAATTATATTTCTTGGGAACATTTACATTATACACAAGGCCACATAAACTGACATGGTAAAATATGCCAGCATATTTCTGTATGTGCTTCCATTGAGGCAACAGTAAAATAGCAGAATAGACAATATTATATCGAAAGAAGGGGTTGCCTTTGGCCCAGATATCTGGCCTCTAAATATAAAGCAACTGTTACATCATATCTGTAATACAGAGCCTTAATAACTCCATGAAGCTACAGCAAAAAGCACAGCCACTGATCAGTTCTGCCAATAACCAGGATCTTTTGGTTGCACCTCTCTTTGAGTTGTTTGCATCCCAGCTGGTCCTTACTGGGAATTTTAAGAGAATGTGATCGTGTCGCCTTGGATTTCATGATACAGGGAAAGGGAAAACTGAGTGTAATCGGTCATAGACTGATTTCATAGAAGGCCGATTTCTGGAAGCTTAAGGAACTACTGCAGGCATAGGCAAACTCGGCCCTCCAGATGTTTTGGGACTACAACTCCCATCATCCCTGACCACTGGTCCTCTTAGCTAGGGGTGATGGGCGTTGTAGTCCCAAAACATCTGGAGGGCCGAGTCTGCCTATGCCTGAAGTACCGAGTGAGATCTCATGGTCAAAAATAGTGAAGAAAAGGGAGCCCAAGATGGGAGATTGTTAAAGGTGAAATAATGAAGGCACAAATGCAGACAATTCCAGAAAGTGGGAGGCACCTAAACAAACTTGTGTGGCTTTTTAAGAAGCATACACAAGCTTGTTGGATCTGGGGAATTCTATGGACATAGTGTATCTTGATTTCAGTAATGCTTTTGATGAAGTTCCCCATGACATTCTTGTGGAGAAGCTGGTAAAAGGTGTAGCTGGTTGACTAACAGAACTCAAAAACTCATTAATAGTTCCTAGCCATCCTAGGAAAAAGCGACGTGGGGTGACAGAGTTCTATTCTGGGCCCACTGTTGTTCAACATCTTTATAAATGACTTCGATGATGGAATTGAGGCGATCCACATCAAATTTGTAGATACCAAATTGGGAGGGGTAGCTAATGCCACAGAAGACAGAATTGGGATTCAAAATGACCTTTACAGATTGGAGAATTGGGCGCAAAGTAACAAAATGAATTTCAACAGGGACAAATGTAAGGTTCTGCACTTAGGCAGGAAGAACCAGGTGCACAAGTTTAAGATGGAGGACACCCAGCTTACATGTGAAAAAGATCCAGGGCCCAACAGTATGATGCTGCATAGTGTCCAGATCAAGGGAAGGTATACCACTCTATTCTGCCATAGTCAAACCACACATGGAGTCGTATGTCCAGTTCTGGGCACCACAATTTAAGAAGGATATTGACAAGCTGGAATGTGTGCAGAGGATGGCAACCAAGATGATCACAGGTCTGGAAGCCAAGCCTTATAAGGAAAGGCTGAGGTATGCTTACATCAGCAATGCAATCACTATGTGCATTTGTTACCGTATCAGAAATGTGGCCTCAAATTAACCTTAAGATTTAGGGTTCTCACTAGTAGCATTTTCCTTTTGACCTTGATGACTTAAACATAATGTACCAAACCTAGCATATTTAAGAGGACATCCTTCAAATATCTAATACTGTAACAGGATATGTGGGGAAAAGCAGTATCTTAGCAAAATGTGTATGCAGGTGGTTATGGCTTTAAATTATAGATCTTTCAGAATAAGGGCACCATTGTAATCATCCCCACAAGTGGATCCCAGCAGCCCATCTCCATCAGAAGGCAGTGCTGCAACCTTATGGACATCTTCCAAGAGTGTTTGCTATATAACCCTCATCGTAACTGTCTTCTAGCCTTGAAATGACAGACACCAGGATAACTTACGCTTTCATGTAGTCCTTGATGTACTTCTTGTAAGACTCTTTAGTGAAGCTTGTTTCCTGAAGGTGGTGGTTCATTACAATGTCAACACCGGTGACAACGGTAGCCTCTGCCCCTTCACCATCTGGACCTTCAGCCGACGCATTTCCACCAATTAAAGCATCATCTATTTCACCTTCTTTCCTGCTCACCATCTAAACCATTCATTGAAGAAAAATACCACCACTGAAAAGCAAAATCTAATTGTAAAATGATCTGCTCCTGTTCATTAATCTACTCAAAGCTTTAAGTCCTGAAACTAGTTCAGCTATGAGCAAAGCTATCCAAGTGGCATTTGTCACCAAAGGGAGAATAAACTGCCCGGAGAATCTTAAATCGGAAGTCTTTTATGATTAAGACTCTAACTTTCAAGGTTTTCGAAACACACACACACACACACACACACACACACACACAACCTGCTACTTTTTACGTCTTTCCATCAAAATTAAGGGATTTTAAAACACCACGCCTCAAATTACTCAGTCTGGATGTCGTCATTACCACTATGGAGGCTTAATGGATGTGTCAGAGTTTATCTTGCAACCGAGCCCCTCTCAAGTCACTGTGACATCTCTGTTATAAAGGTGACCCATATTGGCATGGTGATGCATAGATTACGAAAGGCTAAAGCATGGATCTCTCCCCCTCCAACTGTGCAGACCAAAACATGGTCGTTGCACAGTAATTGTGAGCTTTGGTTACTTTATGAGTTCATAGAAGTGGCTGAAATTTCCCAGTTTGCCTCAGATGTTGTCAAATCCCCCCCCCCATAACAGAAGTTGATTGAGTGCCTGTGAAGGGTAGCAACTGCTAAAAGAAGGGCCTCATGGTACCAAAGCACAGTTGAGCTATACTATAATATAGGGAGGGGCTTGGGAGAGACCAGGGTTCGAACCCCACCTACATAAAACGAGTAGATTTACAAACAAAGCCTACCTTCCCTTCCACTTCCAGGCAGAGTCCGCTGGCCACTTCTTTGACCTTGTAGATGTCCGAGAACATCTCGTCTTCTGCGGGCGGAGGAAGGAGGAGAGCGCGTGAGGGGGGCTCCCCATGGTCGGCCGGTCCTTCTCCCTCCCCCAAACCCCACCCTCCTCTCAGGGGTCGCCCCTCTTTCCCTCCCTCCCGCCCTTCCGGTCCAGGCCTTGCCAGGCCCCAGAGGTAGATGCGGCGCCGCCGCCTCCCGGAACGGGAAAAGGCCTCGGGAAGGCTGCGCCGGAAGCCAAGAGGGAACACGCCGGAAGCGCCGCCAAAGGCCTCCAGCCCCACGGCCCCTTCGGCAGCCCCGCTCACGCAAGCGCGGTAGCCGCGGCAAAAAGACGCATGCGCAGTGAATAGAATGCCGGGGCGCCAGTCTTCGCTCGCCCCCCCCCCCCCGCGAACCAGTCTCCCTTCCCCCTCTCTTCTGTGCCGCGCAGGCGCAGTGCAGCGGGAGGGCGCGCGAGGTGCCTAGCCCGGGCCGCGGAGCCGCGCAAGCGCAGTAGGGCGCCGCTGTGGGGGCTCCGCGGGGGGTCCGACCTCGACGGCGCTGAGGGAGATTCGCTTACGGCTGATGCAGTCGCGGTAGATGATCATGGCTGAGGCGTCGTCGGGCGGCGGTGGGTCGAGCGGGCGGGCGGGAGGGCGGCCTCGGGGAGCGGAGCGGCTGGGCGGCGACTCCCGGCGAGAGCAAGGAGCGAGGCGGAGAAAGGCCGAGGCGGCGCTGCCACTGAGCTCATATAGCCAGCGGGGCACGTCCCTGCCATCCGTGCGTCACCAATCCCTGCGCTCCCCGCCACGCACGGAGCTGTGACGCAAGCGCGCCCGCAGGCCGCAGGCCCGCCTCCCCGCGCGCACGTAGAGGCAAGAACTTACAGAGCTGCTCTCGGCGGGCCGGAGGTAGAACTTCCCGGTTCCTTCTCCTCCCGCCGCCGCCGCCAATAGGAAACAACGCTGTCAACTTTTCCCTTTTCTTGCGAGGAATCCTATTCGGAATAAGGGAATTTCCCTTTAAAAATGGGAAACTTTGACAGCTATGCGCAGAGGCGGCGTGCCTGCGGTTTCGCAGCAGCTGGTCCTCGCTGAAACTGAAGCCAAGAGAGGAGAGGCGACCCTGATTTCAGCCTTAGAATCGTAGCATCATAGAATTGGAAGGAGATCCAAGGGTCATCTAGTAGTCCAACCCCCTGCAATGCAGAAATCTCAACTAAAGCATCCATGACAGACTTCCGAGGGGCGGCGCGAACGGCAATGGCGGTCCTCTTCTGAACGGGAGAGGAGGCTCCGCAGAAAACGGGTCGTCCGCTACGGCGAAGCGGAGACCCACTCCGGAAAACCCCAGGCAGCAAGAGCTTGGGGTCTTGAGGCTCGGTGGGCGCCTTAAGTGACCCTCCAAACGCAGAAGGAACCTCGTAAGGGGCTCCGGAGCGTGGAGGGGGGTTGCGGCGCTGAGAGCTGCTTCACAGTCTGCGGAGTGAAGCCGCGCTGCTGCTGCCGGTGAGCGCTGATCCTTTCCTGCTAAAATACGGATTCGGACGAAAAGCAACTTACTCGTGAGTAAAGACTGAATCACTTGAAATCAGAGACTTTAAATGAAAAATCTTAAATTGGCTTGAACTTGGCTGAAAGCGGAGAGACGTGGAAACAGGAAGTCCGTCTTCCGCAGCCATTGAACTTGAAAAAAGCAACTAAGTTGGAGGAGTGGAGGCTGAAAGGAAGAGATTTTAAACTTTACAGATCTAAGCATCTACTGAACTTGCAATTTAAAGTAAAGACTTTAAGCTAAAGACTTGGAATTTTAACTTGCACTTGACTTTCCCCCTTTTATTGGATTACAAATTAGAAGGTGAAACCCAGAGTCAGCAGCTGCCTGAGCATTGAGAAATTGAGCTGTCAGTATTGCAGATTTTGATACTGTATATTGGAACTTGCAACAATCTGAGGGTATTGAGACTTTTTAAATTTGAAACATTCTTTTTGGAGATAAACAAGCACTGTCTGTAACAAAGTGATTACTTATAAACTCTGCTAAATATTTATATTTGAAGGCTCTTGGACATTAAATTAGACTCTGAAAGACATTTTAAGCTCCCTCTAGAGGATTGGATGAAAACAGTGACTTTACATTTTACATTTACTTTCGATTCCCTTGTTGTTTGCTTGCTCTGGGCCTTTCTATTCCCATGGGAAAAACTCAGTGTGACCTTGACTGATAGACAACGTTGGAATGAGTGGCACAAGGAAAAGAGGGAGAGTTAGACAAACAACTTTAACAACTCTAACCTCAGCCTCGCAGACACGTAGATCATCTGTACCTACTTTGCCCTCAGAAGTAGAACTTGAAGAAGTTGCCTTGCCACAGGCAAAAGAGGGAGAGGGTGAAGCAGAGCAGTTACAATTGGAAGATATGGCCTCAGGAGTATCTGTTTCTGTTCTAGACAAAATCTTTGAAAAATTGGAAGCTTTGGACAAGAAAGTAGATGCGCAATCAGCAAAGATTGACAAAAATACAGAATGTCTAAATAAATTAACCATACAAGTTGTACAGAATACACAAGCAATTGGACAGTTAACGGAGGCCTCAGCAGAAAATCGGAAATTGGCTGAGGATACTAGACAAAAATTGGTTCGGGTCCTACCTTGTCTGGAGCAGCAGTAAGCAAGCTTGCTCCCTCCTCCATGGGACAGCCCTAAGCATACCCAGATCCTTCAACCGTTCCTCATAAAGCTTGGCTTTGTTATAAGAATTTTAAGGTCTCAAATATAGAATATTCATAAATGCACGCATATCTAAATAAATGAACCATGTGTCTGAAATAGTATGGGAAAGCGATCCTGAATCCATTTTGACTCTCCCAATGACCTCAAATATTCCTCTGCAGTAAGGGAGGCAAATGGGGAAAGCCTTCCCATTGTTTTTTTTCTTGCAAATCCTGTCTTAAGGGCGTATTTGTGTATGAATAGGGTGAGCCTGTGACCTGGATTCAGGAACTAAAGTATTAACGATAACGAAAGAAGGCCAGACTGCCCAGGTAATGCAATCAGTGACGATTATCAGGTATGCTGGCGGGCAGGATTTCTGCTGTAGACCGCCTCCTTCTGAGATGTATGTATGATGTATTGACGGGTGGTCTTGGGCTACAGGGTAGGCAATTTCAAACGTCTATACAAGGGCTTGTGCACCATTGTTCAGGGTTCTCTCTCCTCTGTGTGGTGAGTGGGCACCCTGTTGCAACAGTTCCTTAAATAAAGATCAGGCTAACTAGCCACTTTGCTTCTCAATCAGTGGCGTAGCGTGGGCCGGGCGCAACATCTGGGGGGGGCGCTCGCACTCGAGTGCTAAAATCCACGGGTTAGAGGGCGCAAATTACTTGCCTTGCCCCGGGTGCTGACAACCCACGCTACGCCACTGTTCTCAATATACTCTGGTTGACCTGTGTTTTCTCCTACCAATAGCGAACCTACATAAGGACTCTATATGGGCTCCAGAATACCCTATAAGGGAAAGGGAGCAGTTTTTCTTATAACCTCTAGCTCCTAGACCCTTGATCACCCTAGTTGCACTCCTCTGCAAACATTCCAGTTTGTCAACATCCTTAAATTGTGGTGCTCAGAACTGGGCACAGGACTCTATGAGTCACCTTGCCCCGTGGGTGGGCCAACCCTTCTGAGCACCGTAGTTTACAATGCACAGTCATAATTCCCAGCAAGCCTCAAACTACAGTGCCCAGAATTCTTTGAGTGAAAGAATATTCCTTAAAATGTGCTTGAACGTTATATTGTGTACACAGCCATAGAGTCTGCATGCAGTCCTATCCAGCTAATTTCTATCTGAAATCGGGTCACCCTATGCTGGTGTGGTCACTCTAGATTTTATGCTGATGTGGCACACAAAATTTCCAGCTGCTCCTCTGCAGGGTTGTCAAACAACACCGGAGTCCAGCTAGGGTAACTGTTTGGCAACATAATTTGTACCTTTGCATCATTCACTTCCTCCCTGGTTGGGTGATGCTTAAAACAACATCACCCTGAGTTCCATGATGGAAAAAATGTGGGATAAAATGTAATAAGTAAGTAAATAAATCATTATTCCATTACTGTACAATTTATGCATATTTTTGTGTGGTTCTTTTTATGCAGTAGAACTTTTCCATGGCTTTTGTCCCCAGCTTCTCTCCTTACTTAATTCACTGACACCGATCCTCCAAGCAGATATGCTTAGAATGAGGCTGTTGGGCCACATTCCTATACCCAAGTACTTGGGAGTAAGACCCATTCAGTAGACAAGCATAAAACATATAGCTGCAAAAATAGCAACAGTGCTACAAACATGTATTTGACCCACCAACCAAAAATTTGGCTGAACAAGATTCAGTACAGTGGTACCTCTGGTTGCGAACGGGATCCATTCTGGAGGCCCGTTCGCAACATGAAAAGAGCGCAAGCCTCAGCAGCGTGTCTGTGCACGCGCGGGTTGCGATTCAGCACTTCTGCGCATGACGTCATTTTGCGTGTCTGTGCATGTGCGAGCGGTGAAACCCGGAAGTAACCCTTTCCGGTACTTCCGGGTCGCCATGGGATGTAACCTGAAAGAACGTAACATGAAGCAAATGTAACATGAGGTATGACTGTACTATCAGCTTGCAAACCACATTCAGTAAAGAGAGGGCACATCAATTATTGTTTTCCCTATTTATTATTTAAATTCTATACATGCTATTTCAGTGTTCACTGAGTGATCTCCATCACTCTTCAGTCTCATTATTTGTATGATTTTGATCTATACCTATTTCGTTTGAATTCTATCAGTATATTTTTAAATGATTTTTCCCCACACACAACCACTTGTATGTTTTTTAAAAGCTGTTCTTATTTTTAATCTGTAAGCTGCCTTGAGCCCCTATTGTTGTTTAGTCGTTTAGTCGTATCCAACTCTTCGTGACCCCCTGGACCAGAGCACGCCAGGCACTCCTGTCTTCCACTGCCTCCCGCAGTTTAGTCAAACTCATGCTGGTAGCTTCGAGAACACTGTCCAACCATCTCGTCCTCTGTCGTCCCCTTCTCCTTGTGCCCTCCATCTTTCCCAGCATCAGGGTCTTTTCCAGGGAGTCTTCTCTTCTCATGAGGTGGCCAAAGTCTTGGAGCCTCCGCTTCAGGATCTGTCCTTCCAGTGAGCACTCAGGGCTGATTTCCTTCAGAATGGAGAGGTTTGATCTTCTTGCAGTCCATGGGACTCTCAAGAGTCTCCTCCAGCACCATAATTCAATAGCATCAATTCTTCGGCGATCAGCTTTCTTTATGGTCCAGCTTTCACTTCCATACATCACTACTGGGAAAACCATAGCTTTAACTATACGGACCTTTGTTGGCAAGGTGAGCCCCTATTAGGGGTAAATGAATGAATGAATGAATGAATGAATGAATGAATAAGTAAGTAAGTAAGTATGGAAGTAAGTAAGTGTGTGTTATTACAATTCGGTAACTCGTTCTCACCCATTCACCTCCCATCGTAATTTTGGACACAAGCCACGTTGACGTCAGACACCTACTCAGGGGGAGGGGGGAGAGGAAAGGCGGGGCTTCTCCGGCGCTGGAGGACGGAGCTTTTCCCATTGGCTGAGCCGCGAGGGACGCTGGCTGCTGAGAGACAGAGACAGAGACTGGCGCATGCGCGTTTGCCGGCTTCCCTTCGCTCGCCCGCCCGGCTCTTTCGGCGCAGACGCTGCGGCGGTTCGTCGTCTCCCGCCCGGGCAGCGGCAGAAGCGGGAGGCGGCTCAGGTTTGGCTCCTTTCACGCCGTCCCTTTTGGGGCTGCGGCCTCTCCGGGGTGCCCGGGCTGAAACGCCTGAGGGGGGGCGCGGATAATGTGAGGGGGAGACAGTTTCTTCTTTCCCGCGCTTTTCTGTGAGGGGAAAATTCCCCCCTTCGCTTTTTTTTTTCTGGGGGGGGGTACCTGGTCCATGGGGGGGTGAAGTCCCCCCTACACCCCGAAGGCGGAAAACTGTTGTTATTTGCTAAAAGTTAAACGGTAAAGCAGACACGCAACAAGCAGCCGGCGGGGGGGGGGTGTCGTTGCCCGCCCCCCCCTTTAATCAAGTAAATGGTTATAAAATTTTAGGGTGAACGCACATAGCAGACGCACGCTTCAGTCTTCCCAGCCTCCCCAAATTGAGGAAATGTTTCCTCGGGAAAATTGCATATTATTGTAGCGCACAGAACCACCACCCCCAAAAAACACACGTCTTGGCTCTCCTAATGGATTATTTCCTCTGAAGAAGGAGATCTCCTGGAAGAAATAATAACAACAACAACAACAATAATATTTTATTATTTATACCCCGCCCAGCTGGCTGAGTCTCCAACAACAACAACAACAACAATAATAATAATAATAATATTTTATTATTTATACCCCACCCATCTGGCTGAGTTTCCCCAGCCACTCTGGGCGGCTCCCAATCAAATGTTAAAAACAGTACAGCATTGAATATTAAAAACTTCCCTAAACAGGGCTGCCTTCAGAAACCTTTTCCCATAGTTCTTTCATTTAGCAAATCCTGCCTTAAGGGCATATTTTGTGCATGAATAGTCCTGTGACCTGGATTCGCAGACTCAAGTGTTTACCATCACAAAAGAATGGGCCAGGCTGCCCAGGTAACGCAATCCGTGAAAACGTCATCAGTGACGTACGTGTGATGCTTTTAGGGTGGCCTTTGGCTAAGGGGTTGAGCAACGCCGAAAGTCTTTGTAGAAACCCAAGAATTACCAACAATAGAAGAATGACAGATGAAGATGATGGATTTTTTGGAGCTAGCCGACCTAACTGGAAGAGTTCGCAACCAGAAGGAGGAGGAGTATCAGGAAGTGTGGATTAAATTCAATGATTACTTACTTAAATATGTTAAGTTAAATTAACTGAAAACAGCTTGCAGATACATAATTGGTTTAGGATTTTATTTATGTTTAGTGATGAATTAATATGTTTAATTTCATAATGTGAAGATCTAAGGATGTTAATATTTAAGTTAAATTTTATAAGAATGTTGATTTGGAAAACCGTTAAAAGGACATGCAATGAAATTCAACCAAGGGGAAGCAAGGAAGTCACTTAACAATGTTGATAAGTGTAATTTTCAATAAGGCTATGATTTATGTTTGTTTGTCTTATGTGTTTGTTTATAATGTTGTGAAAACCGATAATTTTTTTTTTGGAAAAAAAAAGAAAGTCTTTGTAAAGAATATAAAAGATTCCTGCACACTTTGTTCTTCTTGGTCTCTCCCACCTCCTTGCAGGGCGGGGAAGCTGTTGCAACAGGAAAATGGAGATCTGCCTTGCTTTCCACTGGATCCTGCCTCCACCCATTCTTCTCTGACTGATCATGGACTTAGGGGACTCATGAAGTCCCTTTGGGGAGTTAGGTAGCAAAAGCCAACCCCCCGATTTTTTTTCTGCAACGAAAATAAATAAAAATACTTAACTGACCAATTGCATAGGAGATATCTTGGTTCTGCCACCCAACATTATTCCTGGCTACTCCCATGCCCCCAGCTACAATTAAAGCCAAGGGGGAAATGCTATAGTGGACACATGGCGCTATTACATGTGCTGCATGATTCCCGTTTCCCATATTTCTATGTTTAGTGTGGCAGCGGCTGCACTCTGGAACTCCCTGCCTGTTGACATTATGCAGGTGCCAAAGTCAGGGTCATTTTAATCTCTATTAGTATTTTTAACTTTTGTTTGTATTTAAATGGGATTGTGGGTTTTCTTATTTTATTTTACGGTCTTCCTGCATTGCAGAGGGTTGGACTAGATGACTTTCGTGGTATCTTCCAACTCAACAATTCTATGATTTTATGTTGTATCTTTCTTGTAAACGGCTTTGAGGTTTTCTTACAATCAAGCGGTGTTCAAATTTTATGAAATAAACAACAACAACAACAATAAAACATTCCACCTGCTTCTAAAAGGCCACAGATAATTCAAGGCCAAAGGCCTGGTTACAATGGAAGTAAGGTAAAGGGACCCCTGACCATTAGGTCCAGTCGTGGCCGACTCTGGTGTTGCAGCGCTCATATCGCTTCATTGGCCGAGGGAGCTGGCGTACAGGTTCCGGGTCATATGGCCAGCATGACTAAGCCGCTTCTGGCGAACCAGAGCAGCGCACGGAAACGCCGTTTACCTTTCCTATTTATCTACTTGCACTTTGATGTGCTTTCGAACTGCTAGGTTGGCAGGAGCAGGGACCGAGCAATGGGAGCTCACCCGTCGAGGGGATTCGAAACACTGACCTACTGATCGGCAAGTCCTAGGCTCTGTGGTTTAACCCACAGCGCCACCCGCTGAATGGAAGTATTCAGTTGTAAATTAGGGGTTAATAAATTCTGCTTGCTTCATGCTTATTTATTATTTTATTTAATTACACTTAATACATAAATTTAATATAACAGCATTGTGTTCTCATGCTCTGGAGGGCAGGACACAAACCAATAGCTTGGAACAGTTTCCCTCGAGGCTGTGGGCTCTCCTTCCTTGGAGGTTTTAAAGCAGAGGTTGGATAGTCACTGATGCTTAGTTGAGATTTCTGCATTTCAGGGGCTTGGACTAGATGACCCTCAGGGTCCCTAATCCCTGTCTGTTCCCTATCTGACTGTCAAGACCTATCTCAGCCCTAACCGAACCCTATCTAACAGTTTTAACTGCCAGGGTCTAACTTCCTACTGGCTGGATGGAACACTACCCAGCTCTGATTAGTTTCTAGATCTACAGGAGGCTGACCCAAGGTCCATCCATCACAATATGTGATTGAAGTTTAGACCCAGTAGCAAAGGAAAATATTTGGGAAGTGTATACAACTCATAAAAGAGGTGGAAAAGTTTTGTTAATGGGTGAATTTATTTCTTTTTAATTTATTAAATTAATATTCCATCCTTCCTCTGAGAGACAGAGAGAGTACAGGGGGTTCCAGTATAGACCAGCAGACACAGAAATGGGTTCCAATATCTTTAAAAAATTATGGCATCATAACTATTCTGAAATAATCTGAGGGTGCTCCCAGATTGGAATTCATTGTGGTATTGGTGCTCGTCATGCCATGCATGTAAATTTTGCAGTGTTCACACTACACTGCGATTAAAATATAAGCCCACGCACCCACACATCAGATTTCCTCTGCAATGAAACATAGTTCTTGAAATTTCCACATAATTTCCACAATAATATGTAAAGGAGCCAGAAGTTAACTCTGGGATTGCACACAAGTTCCTTAGGATCTCATATTGCCCACCCCTGCATTAACTATTGTTCAGGGTTTTCCTTTCCAATCAAATTTTGCTCTTGCAGGGGCACTTTTATATTTAGCAAATGCCACCAGGTGGCACTGTAATACACCATCTCTAAACAAACCTAAAAATTACAGCAAACTTAAATACTACAGATATGAAAACTACAAGATTGTTAATTTTAATTTTTGTATTTTATAATGTTAAGAGTGTTTCACTAAATTACCTTACTTTTTTCTCTTTATAACCAAAGATTAAATAACAATCTTTGGTTATAAAGTGGGAGAATGGACCACTTTGTCAGATGTATGAAGTTTTCTCCTTACTTGGCAAACCATATTCATGGTTACGGACATCAAAATAGTAAAAACAGGCAACAGTGATGCATCAGGTTTCTACGCATAGTCCAAATTATTTGAAGAAGGAAAGTATTGGATCAAAAAACTTCTTGCATAAAGTTATTTCTCAGTACATTTTTCTTATGTACTCATGATTTTCTCACTTTATCAGTTTTCCAGTCTTAAGTTCAGTTCCCAACATGTCCATATCAGTTTGCATTTTTTTAAAAAAGAAAGGTCTCGTGAAAATTCATCAATATTGAAGAGATTTCCCCCCCCAAAAAAACACAAATATGCAAATCATATTTTCCTAACTATATTTTTTTAATGCTGCTTTTGCTAATATTTCCTTTTTATGCATACTTTACTTGGATGAGGAACTACATTGCAAAATAGGGAGAGCTGTGAATTTCAAAGGACTGCTGTGTTTCGGTTCATATCTTGTTTTGAAAAGTGAATTAAGTTGGTTTGCCTTTAAATGTGAAATGAGTCAAATTTCTCCCACATTCGCTAGTGGCAAGTCAGTCACCCCAGATCATTAATCTAAAATGTTTACTTAATTATAACAATTGAAATAACTCCCTTTGTGGGATCAAACTGTTTTTGAAATACACCAATGAGCCACTAGAACACTTTGCTTTCTCTGATACTGTTGAGCCACAGGAAAAATAAGTTGGGATTGCAGCCAATGGCAAACAGAATCTGAGTCCAGATAGGTGGCAACACACACTCAGGCACTTTCTGCAATGACTTCCCATTTCTGGAACACTCCTCCGGGAAGCTCCAGGCAAAAACATCCCTTTTAAACCAGGCCTTTGCCTTTTAACCATCTATGGCCGTTTTGTATGGGTGGGATGTTTTAATGTAGTTTTACATATGCAAGTTTGAATCGTTTGCATCATCCTGTGTGGCTGAGACATAGACAAAACTTTCCTATCACTTGAAAATGCAGTATTTTTCAATGGAGGTAACTTATTTGGGTGGAAGTTATCAAGTGATGATTTTTTAAGTGCAAGTGTTAACCAGCCCTAGAACCAGTAGCGATCAGTGGTGTGGTGCTGGCAAAATGGGGTTTGCTCCCATGCCTCTTCAACGCTGAGGGTTGCTCCCAGTTTCTGAGAGGCAGAGGTGAGGTGCGGGGAGGTCAGCGCAATGTGGTTGAAGCCAGCCCAGCATTTCTGCCTCTGTATAGGGACGCGGGTGGTGCTGTGGGTTAAACCACAGAGCCTAGGTCTTGCCGATCAGAAGGTTGGTTGTTTGAATCCCTGGGAAGCGGTGAGCTCCCGTTGCTCGGTCCCTGCTCCTGCCAACCTAGCAGTTCAAAAGCACGTCAAAGTGCAAGTAGATAAATAGGTACCGCTCTGGCGGGAAGGTAAACGGCGTTTCTGTGCACTGCTCTGGTTCGCCAGAAGCGGCTTAGTCATGCTGGCCACATGACCCGGAAGCTGTACGCCGGCTCCCTCGGCCAATAAAGCGAGATGAGCGCCGCAACCCCAGAGTCGGCCACGACTGGACCTAATGGTCAGGGGTCCCTTTACCTTTATATGCACCACACTGATCTCCTATGCCTTGCTCCACTCTTAGGAACCAGCAGCAAACCTACCACATATAGCACTTACTGAAATGAGTAGGAGTTTGACAATTTTTGAGCTGCCTCCAGCTTCCATTCAGTTAAGAACACCTAAACATTATAATGTATCTTTAAATTAGGAGTCATTTACAGGATCATTGTTGATTCCCCCCCCCACCCCAAGCTGGCAAGGCTCATTGGACAGCAACAAGAAACTTTGTCTTTAGTGTCACCAGTCCAGTCGAGGGATGCTCTGCCAACAGAGATTCAGCAGGCGCCTTCTCTTCTAACCTCTAAATGCCTGTTGAAAACATTTCTATGCTGCCAGGCTTACACTGGCAATTAAAATATCCCTTTGCAATATTTGATCTCTGGTTTTCAATTTTTATATGTTTTTATTTTATGGTTTTATGCATGGTTGTTGTTTATGAATGGCGGTATATAAATGTATTTATAAATAAATAAAAGAGATATTCAAGATTGTCTCATCTCTTGCATTCATCTATCTCTCCAAGAGAACTATGACATGAATTGCAAACCCTTACAAACCCCCAGTTAGTGACTTTCCATCCAGCCCCCTCTCCAGATTAATGGCTATGGGTCCTTTTGGGACCGATGTTACTATGAGGCGTATTGAGCTTTTTGCCTCCGACAGTAGATTGGGGTATGTAGTGGAAGGATTCTGCTGCTGCTGTCCCTGATAGTTGCAGCTGCCTGGCTGGCACCGTGTCAGGCTGTGGAAGACCACCGGTGGGTCACTTGTCTTTTAAGTGCTGTCATACAGAACCAGCTGTCCAGCCATTGGCATTCAGCTAGACCAGCCAGCAGCATTGGAGCAGGCAGAAGCTGGCCGTGCAAGGGAGAGGTCTTCTACAAGTCTCACAGGACTTTGGGCCACTACTCTATGACAATACAGTGGGTGCAATAAGCATTGACTGCTGCCACTCCATGGTGTGGGGGTGTGTCCCTCTGTTGCAGGCCGCAAAATGGCTTGGGCCACACGTCTTTTCTGCACCTCTGAACTGACTGGAGTGACACTTAGGGCAGCTTTTCCTGATTTTTCCTGTGTTTTAAAAACAACAACCAGTAAGGCAGTAGACTGATCTGTTGATTTTAACTGAATGTGTACAGGATGTGCTATTTAAAAGTATTAAGTGGGTTTTATCTTTGTAAGCAAACACGTTTGACTGAACTAGCCTTCATAAACTATGAGTTGTGTGCTAATTAAGTCCTTACCCTGTAATGAAAGCTCATTTTTCAATAATATTTAAAGGTTCCATATTTCTAAAGGAGTTCAAGAAAGAAAGAAATGATCCATTTAAATGGGATATGGCTTTATTCATCATTGCACTGATTTTCATGGAATTTCTCTCTCACACAGAGACAGAAGTTGTATATGCAGGATTTTAGTATTTCCTCTCCGGCTCCAACTTCAATTTGAAAGACTATAAAAGTTTGACTGGGTTCCAGTTGTGCATGGTTTGCTGGCCTCTGCTATGCAGCAGAGGCAAAGCAAGCCACATATTAACAGGCATGCTGTAAATCTTCAAGAGGACTGTTTCCTTTCTTTGAACAGAACTGAGTTGTAGTTTCAAATTCTGGAAGTCTCCAGTAAAGAGACCTATTTAATGTTGCATAGAAACCAGTGGCCCTTGCATGTGAACAGTGTGCAATTTGCTCATCCTTATACGTAACAAGCTAGCATCAGCTAGGGCCGGCCCTAGGTGGATGCTTACTAGGCTCAGAAGGCACGGCTGGTATGGAGCTGGATTGAGTTTTTGTGCCTCATCTGCCATGTCTTGTGATGAAATGGATTCATCCCACCCCGTCTTTTTCATTAGGCTCCAAAATCTGACTTCCCCCCCCGGAAGACCCTTTGAAAACACACAGCACTTACCTTAATGAAAAGAAATACACAGCTTGCTTGAGAAACCAGCCATATTTAAGTTTTAAATTAGTTTGCTTTGGTTTTTTTTTTTTAAAGTGCAGTATTGAAAGAAACGAGGAGCAATCCAACCAAACCTAAGCGTAACCAGTTTGTAAAATATGCACAGTGCTTATCTTTGAGCTGATTGTGAACTTGTGAATGGATTACTTTTGAAATATGTGCTACGAGACATAATCTTAAACTGGTTTAAACCTTCAGGTAGGTAGCCGGGTTGGTCTGAAGCAGTCGAAATATATATAAAAAATAAAAAAATGTCCAGTAGCACCTTAGAGACCAACTAAGTTTGTTCTTGGTATGGTACTGAAAACTATGGAGAGCCCTGGTCTGAATAGAGAGATTGGATTCCTGTCTCATTACATAATCTAACCATCTGCATACTATCCCTTGCTTTTTCCTGTAGGTCTAATTGCAGTCGTTAACAGTCATCAACAGGTTTACCATACCCATCTCATACTACCCTCCTGAGAAAAACCTCACTCCACCCTCCCACTATATATAAGGGTCTGGTGACTTCTGTTTCAGTGTATCTGAGGAAGTGTGCCTGCACACGAAAGCTTATAACCAAGAACAAACTTAGTTGGTCTCTAAGGTGCTACTGGTTTAAACCTGGGGAAAAGAGTGTTCTGGGGGACTGGTGGGGCAGGACCAGAAGAGGGGCACTTACTGGGGATCCTAAGCCCATTCATATTGGTCCTGTGGCCTGGTATCCCAGCAAAAAATGTAATGTCACAGTAGAAGTCAATGAGGACGGTGCAATCTTCAAAAAGTGGGTCCGCACTCACCTGAGATCCTCACTCAAACTTCTCTGGCTGTGTGACCCAGCAGTCTGTTTTCGGTGATTTTGTCTGCTGCATCAGGTGGACAGATGCCATTTTATGTGCTTTATCAGAATCAAACTTCTCTGAGAACATAGTAATTGAATCAAGTTCAAGCACAGATTGCCATGACTTAGTAGTATAGAATTTTGGCTATATTCCTCATAAAGCTTGGTTTCTAGGCCCTTGATCATACTTGTTGCCCTCTTCTGCACACATTCCAGCTTATCAATATTCATCTTAAATTGTAGTGCCCACAACTGGACACAGTATTACAGGCAAAGTCTGTTCAAGGCAAAATAGAGGAGGATTACTGCTTCCCTTGATTTGGACACTGTACTTCTGTTGATACAGCCTAGAATAGTATTCACTTTTTTTGCTGCTGCTTTTGTTGTCTCATGCTCAGTTTGTGGTTTACTGAGATCCCTGGATCCTTTTCACATGTACTACTGGCAAGCCAGATGTCCCCCCTATCTTATATTTGTGCAGCTGGTTCTTCCTGCCTAAGGGCAGAACTGTACATTTATCTCTTGAAATTCATTCTGTTAGTTTGGGCCCAGCTCTCCAATCTGTTAAGGGCATCTTGAATCCCAATTCTGTCTTCTGTGGTATTAACTACCCCTCCCAGTTTGGTGTCATCTGCAAATTTGCTGAGCATCCCCTCAATTCCTTTGTCCAAGTCATTTATAAAGATATTGAACAACAAGAGGCCCTGCTGCTCCCCACTTGCCACTTTTTTGCAGAATGATGAGGAACCATTAATGAGCACTCTCTGGGTTTGGTCAGTCAGCCAGTTACAAATCCACCTCACAGTTGTTCAACCCACATTTTAACCAGCTTTTCCGCAAGAATATCATGGGGGACTTGATACCCTACACCCATAGCATTCCCCAGATCCACCAAGATTATAACTATGTCAAAAAAAGAAATGAGTTTCATCTGACATGACCTGTTATTCAGAAACCCATGCTGTGATTTCACATCCTTTTCTAAGTGTCCACTGTTTAATCATCTATTCTAGGACCTTTCTTGGTATTGACATTAAGCTGACTAGTCAGCAGTAGGAGTAGGAGGAGTTATTATTATTTAATTTTATATACGTGCAGAGTCTTCTCCCCCCCCCCACTTTGAAGATGAGGACAACACTTGCCTGCCTCCTGTTCTCCAAGAATTATCAAAAATTATGGACACAGGCTCTGAGATTACATCCGCAAGCTCTTTTATTACCCTTGGGTGCAGCTCATCAGGCCCTGGAGATATGAATTCATTTCAAGTAGCTAGATGTTCCCTTACCACCTCTCTTCCTATTTTGGGTTTCAGGTCGCTCCTTGCATCATTTACTATGTTATCAGGTTGGGCATTGCTTTCCTTTTGGGAGGAAGTGTTTAGCAGTTCCGCCTTCTCTCTGTCACTCAATAGTATTTGTCCATCTTCTCCACACAGAGGACCTAATACTTGCTTGTTTCTCTTGTTTTGAACATAGCCAAAGAAACCTTTTAAATTATGTTTAACCTCTCTTACAAGCTTGAGTTCATTCTTAGCTTTGGCCCACCTGACCTTTTCCCTGCAACTGTTGGCTACTCGTGTGTACTCTTCCATCACGATTTCTCCTTTCTTCCATTTCTTATACATGCCCTCCTTACATCTTAGTCCATCTGTAAGCTCTTTATACAGCAACACTGGTTTCTTTAGGTGCCTACCACTTTTCTTTCTTGCTGGAATTGTCTGCATTTGTGCCTTCAATATCTCACCTTTAAGAAACTCCCATCCATCTTCGACCCCCTTCTCTCTGAGTATTTCTGACCATGGGACTTCACCCTATAGTTCCTTAAGCTTTTTGAAATCAGCCTCCTCAAAGTCCAGGGTGCATGTCTGACTACACTCAGTTTTCCCTTGCCTGTGTATAGTGAAACTCAAGAAGACATGATCACTTTCTCCCAAGGTTCTGTCTACTTTTAGCTTATCAGTCAGTTCCTTCCTGTTGGTGAGGACCAGGTCCAAGAGAGATGACCCCCTTGTTACTTCTTCCAAATTCTGGGAAATTGTTAGCATGGCAACTGAGGAATTTGTTGGACCTTACATTCTTGGCTGAGTTTGAGATCCAACAGATATCAAGATAGTTGAAGTCTCCTATTACTACAATATCTCCTCCTCCTCCCTTCCTGTTTGATCAATTCCATTTGAGCAGCTTGTATTCCTCAGTTTCTACATTCCAGTCCTGAGTCTCATCCCACTAGGTTTCAGTAGTGTCTTCTGGGTCATATTTACCATTCAGTATTAAGAGCTCAAGTTCTTCTTGCTTGTTTCCCATACTCTCTGCATTTGTGTAGAGACAATACAAACCATGAGTCATTCCTCTGCTCCCTCCTCCATAGGGAGTCACCTGCCACCACCACATGTCTCTTTTCCTTCTCTGGGAAGCAGCAGAAATCACACTGAACCTTCAGCTGCTACCTTGGTGTGTTCTGAGGTCTGCAACTGCTGTACTTGCTCCTCTGGCTGAGAACTGGTGTCCAAGGTGAGGGCTTGGAATCAATTTTGTAGCTCCAGAGATACTCCTGACAGTCCAGCTTTTTTGTCCTATTCCTCCTGGGGTTTATCTCTAGTATTAACCCACCATCACCACGCCAGAGGGAGAAAGTATATAGAAGCCCTTCAGTGCAGTGAAAGTGGTGGACATCAACTGAACAGTCCAGAATTCTGCATTTTAGCTTAGTCTAGTGTAGGATATAGTCTTGTTCTAATACATATAATAAGATAAGAGTAACTTACTTGTTGATGTCTCCCAACCTGATAGGTACAAAAAGGCTAGTTTCAAACCCATTGCATTTTGTAAATCAATACCCAATTTATACTGAAATAACAGAAACCCAAATTTAACTACTTCGTACAACCATTTCATTTGACTTCAAAAGGCCATATTATTTGACTGTGAGACTGAATTATATTCTTCATTTTTAGCAGACGCCTTATGTATGACAGGAACTATTTATAATGCCTGCTTACTCCAAGTGAGTTTTTTCTATACCTTTTTTTTTTTACTTCAATTTGAAGTGAAAGATACAATATAGAATTCAAATGCCTTTGCATTACATGTGTTTTTAAACATTGCTACATTCCAAAATATGACTTGACAAACAGTTTTGGAATAGTTCTGCTACTTTACATTCTTGCTCTTTATCCTTTGTTTTCTTTTTTTCTTTTTCTTTTTTTGGTATAAAGGTTAATACATTGGGTTAAATGACAAGTTTAAAATATGAAAATATGTTAGCAGTTCTCTTTTTTGTCATTATTTTACTCCCTGTGTGTGTGTGTTTGTGTGAAAAACTATCAAAGAAACAGAACTTTCTTGCTGAAAGTAAGAAAAATCAATAATTTTGGAACAAACGTTGGTATGTCTTAGATGCTTCTTCCTTCAAATCCTGGTTTCAGTGCTTCAGAAAGATCCGTTCAAATGGATGATTAAAAAATAATAAAGAAAGAAAGATTTACGAAGTATGATCTGGGAGTGATAATGACATTATATAAGGGAATGTTGGGAATTTTTCTACTCCAGGACGGTGCCATATAAGTAAAAAACAAGACCCTGATGTCACAGCCCAAAGCAAGTGTCCACACACATCAGGAATCACAAGCATACATCAGATGTACATCATCCGAATGCACCCATTTGTCTGCATTTCATCTCTTCCCCTGGGATTTACATTTCCATTCACTTCCGAACCCAGACGGAAGACACATTTCAATGTGCATTCCATTGAAAGTAATCAACGACTCCCACAGCAAATCTGATTCATGCTGATGGCTCCTGATACATGCAGAGGACTGCTTTTGCTAGTGGATCATATTCATTAGATTGAGTGACAAGTGTATAATCTCCACCAGATCTTTGGCATTTACAGTGAAAACGCAGTACACTATATTGCTGGGGGTAATAAGCAAAGGGGGAAAGTGCTCAATACATTGCACATACTAGACTGTGATTGGCTTAAGAAGAGAATGACGTCAGAAGAAAGCATCTGCAACTTCTTGGATGGGTTTCTCACATCCAGAGAGTTCTTGTTGGCAGTCTTCATCTTAAGGAAAGGTTGTGTTCTCAGTTGGACAATGTGTACTATGACAACATGGGATGGGACTGTCACTGGATTCACCCTGTTCAGTTGTTACTCCTAGAGAGAAAAAAAGACATTTTATTAGAACATCTGACAACCAAGTAGGAATCACTCTTGATTCTTCGATTGACTAGAAGAATTATTTTCCTAAGTGATAATTTTGATTACAGTGTGTGGAGGCAGACGTAACATCCCACAGAACTGAATGCTGTCTAGACAAGCATCTAAGAAGAAATATTATGGTGGCCCAGGAAGTAAAGTAAAAAATGATTATGGTCACAGTCTTACTTGGAATTAATGGGATGTAAGAGTATTTTAAGAAGCACAAGTTGCTTCAGAAAACAGCAACCACATGTTGAGTTCTCCCCTTTCCTGCTCTGTAATGTTTAATGCAATTTATCCCATGTCTGATTCTTCTATTGATTAGAAGGATTATTCTTCCCATGTGATCAGCCTCTCTGTACCTGAGAACTGAGAAGCAGACAATGCAACGCCAATTTTTTAAATAGATCCAGGAAACTATAGAGTGGTTACCTTAAGGTGTCTTCTGGGAGAACTGGTGGAAAGCATTGTCAAATATAAAAATACCAAGCATATAGAAGAAGTCTTGCTGAAGCAGAAACAGCATGGCTTCTGCAAGAGTAAATCCTCCTTCACCAACCTATTAGTTCTCTGGCAGGGCTAAGAAGTGCATAGATCGAGGTGACCCAGTTGACACTGCACACTTAGGTTTTCAAAAATCTTTTAACACAGTACCTTACCAAAGATTCCTGAATAAACTTAGCGGTCATAGACTAAGATGAGAGGAACTGGGTAAATAGCAGGAAGCAGAGAGTAGGCATACATGGACGCGGAATTAAGAAGTGGAGTCCCGCAGCAGCAATATTGGGACATGTGTTTTTTAACTTGTTCATAAATGATCTAGAGCAGTGGTTTCCAATTAGGGGCCCAGGTACCATTTTCAAAAGTAGGGGATCCATGGCTCAGCTTTCGAAAAATAGGGGGTCCTCAGTAATTAGCTAATTGGGAACCACTGATCTAGAGTTAAGAGTGAGGAATGAGGTAGCTAAGTTTGATGATGATATCAATTTGTTCCGGATGTTTAAAAGAAAAAGAGATTGCAAAGAGCTCCAAAGTGAGTGAATGGGTAATAAAATGCTAAGCGCAATTCAATGTAAACAAGTGTAAAGTGGTATCACGTTGGGGGTCAAACAAATTGTTAATATACATTATTCTCTTAATCTCATGTATATGCTCTTGGGGTCTAAACTGCCATTGAATGACCAAGAATGAGACCTCAGGGTCATGGTGGATATCTCCAAGAAGATATCATCCCAGTTTGCAGTAACTGCTTAAATAAAGGTGAATTCCATACTAGGGATCATTGAGCAAAGGATTAAAATATTAATTTAGTTACTTCACAATATTTATATATCACTTGATTGTAAACAAAAATCTCAAAGAAGTTTAATGAGAAATAAATCTGCCACTGTCATAATACAATGATAGAAATCTATGGTACAACAACACTTAGATTAATGTGTACAGTTCTGGTTGTCTCAATCCCAAAAGGATATTGAGTTGGAAAACGTTTCGAAAATAGAATGCAGCAGCTACCCTATGAGCAAAGGTTTCAACATTTTTTCGGGTGAGGGGGGTTAGTTTAGAGATAAGGTAGGAGGAGATTAGAGAGAGGTACGTGGAGTTATGTATAGTGTGAAGAAAATGGATGGAGAGACATTTTCCCTCCCTATCTCCTAACACTAGAAATTATGTACATCCAGTGAAGATGAATGTTGGAAGATTCAGGACAGACAAAGCGCTTCAACACATTTTCTATCCTGCTATATTGGGCAACATGTCCAATTGGGCAATGATATCTTGGGAGGCGGGACGCGGGTGGCACTGTGGGTTAAACCACAGAGCCTAGGACTTGCCAATCAGAAGGTTGGCGATTTGAATCCCCGCGATGGGGTGAGCTCCTGTTGCTTGGTCCCTGCTCCTGCCAACCTAACTGTTCGAAAGCACGTCAAAGTGCAAGTAGATAAATAGGTACCGCTCTGGCAGGAAGGTAAACGGCGTTTCCGTGCGCTGCTCTGGTTTGCCAGAAGCGGCTTAGTCATGCTGGCCACATGACCCGGAAGCTGTACACCGGCTCCCTCGGCCAATAAAGAAGGTGAGCACCGCAACCCCAGAGTCGGTCATGACTGGACCTAATAGTTAGGGGTCCCTTTACCTTTACCTATCTTGGGAGGCAACAGAACCCATAGAGAATAGGCAGGCAGACAAACCACTTTCCACAATACATACTAGATGCATGCAGGTATGAAGCGAACACATTCTGCAAATATGTATTATAGGGTTGCATTATAGGGTTTCCACTGGGAAAGTGGGATTGGTCACAACTCCTCACTGCGTGCACATGTGGTCGCAAGCATGCACTTACTATCTTCTCAAGGCTAGGCACACTGAGCCTCTTGCTCCAGTTGGAGGAGCAGAAGAATGCGCTGCAGCTGCCTGGCCACCGCTGTGTCACCTTTTATTTTGTTTTAAGTGCAGCAGCTGCCACACAGAACCAGCTGCCTGGCGAGTGACCTCATGGCCACTGACATTCAGGCAATGACTTCCTCACAGACCAAGGCTTGGTGCATGGCACTGTTTTGCTTGCTCTAGCTTGCTTTCCCCCGTGGCAGATGTCTTCAATACACCTTTGCCACCACTGCAAGAGGGCAAGGTGGAACTCTGTATGCAATGTTAGAAACATAAATAAAAGCTTTGTCAGGAACATAATCTTAACGGCAATAATCAGCCATACCGAGAGAGAGTAAGGGCTTGCCATGACTTCAGCAGCAGCTAGAGTTGCACTGCCGAAGCTCTGCTAAACATTTTGTTGCCATTGCTCCTAAATATTTAAAGCATGCTCCCTGTAGACCTGTATTGGCCATAAGTGCCACAAGACACCTGCCGTAGTAGATTAAGGTATGCAAGAAAGGATTTTGCATAGTTTACCTCTAAACCAGTGACCTCCTGCAAATTAGCAAGTTCCACTTTCAGTTCTGAAATCCCTGCCTCTGAATCTGATATCATTATCAAGGTATCATCAGCAAAAAAACTTATGGCCTGTTTTTCATTGCTGATCTTAATTTCTTTAATGTCATAACTGGCGCTTATCTTATATGCTAAAGCCTCAGCCACAATTGTAAAGAGGAAGGGGGAAGGCGACAACCCTGCTTTGTCACCCTCCTCACTGCAACCACAAGTCCAGCACTTTGACCCAAATTGCAGTGACCAAATGAGAACATTGTTTTACTAGATCTATCTAAAAACCTCTGACCAAATCACAATTTTTCCAGCAGTTTAAGAAAAAAGGGCCATTCAAGACTATCAAAAGCCTTGTGGATAACCAACAAGACTCCTGCCCCAGGCCTCAGACAAGCTCTGCACAGGCATGACCATGTTTGTTGTTGTCGTTTAGTTGTATCCGACTGTTCATGACAATGCCTGCCTTTCTAAGCACCTATGATCTAGGAGGACTTCCCATGCTCAAGTGTCTCTTGGCTCAAATCCTGATGGATGTGCAGTCCTTGGCCCTGACAATTAAGATTCTGCACACTGCTCAAGGTCTGCACACACCTCTCACTGCATAGCAATAAAAAATGATCTATAAATGTTTTTGGTTGAGAGCAGGTGAGAAAGCTGGAAGTACTCAGTTCAGAACTGTCACTGACTGGGGCCACTGTTTTAGTGGGCTTTGACACCTTCCCTGGGCCTTCCGCCATCACAGACCTTTCTTCTTCCTCCAAGAAGTCTGAAGAGAGCAAAGGATTCATGCATCCATCTTGGTTTACAGCCAAGCCATGTTGCAACCAGTCTCTTTGTTAAGTATCTCTTTGCATGACCAAATAATATAGGTGATTGGTTAGCACAAAAACTACCAGCTAGAGACACTTCCAGATGGTCCCCTCTTGCCTGGATGGAGGTGATGTCACTGGTGAAGATAAGAGAACAGCAGATGTGAGGGCAGTTTTTGTCTTGGGCTGGGCTTACTCCCTCTGTATGCCTAATCTGAATTTACAACTTTGCTCCCAAGCTTCCAAAACTAATGGGGGAGAAAGATCTGTTGGGGTGTTGATGCTGCAACACCTTCCAGCTTATGCCCAGCCTGTATATATGTGTAAATAAAACCATATACAGCACAGTTGCCAATAACCTTCATTCTAAGGAATGCAGACTTGAAATATGCATCCTTGAAATATGTCTGCTTGGACACTGGTGTGCATGTAACAGTACTGTGACTGATCTAGCAAACATTAGTTTGTGATGAAGGCCCTAGTCACATGTAATGCTTAAAACCACTTTCGGGCATCTCTAGTGCTATCTAGCTAACCATCTGAATGCTTGAGCAAAAGAAGAAGAAAGGCATGTAAAATGCCAATGAGCTAATGGAGTCTGAACTAACCATGCACAAGACTTCAAGGAAGATGCTGGCCCAGAATGCCACAGCTGTAGGACTGTGCTGTAAGGCTCTAATTCCATGCACACTTAACCCCATGCACTTGTCCTATTAAACAACTTACTAACTTGACTAAACATGCAAATGCTCGTGCTATATACTCATGCAGGATGTATTCCCAACTAACTTTTGCTGGGTTGCTCGCATTAAAGGATCATAGAGGGGCAAGGAATCTCAAAGGTCATCTATAGTCCAGCCCCCTGCTGCTGAAGGAAATCCACTAGTATCCCTGCTAGATGGATCAGCCTCTGCTTAAAAAAAACTTCTACTGAATGAGACCTCCTAAGGCAGTCTGTTCCACTGCTGAGCTGCTCATATCACAAGGAAGTTTCAAATCTTTTCGTGTGTGTGTGTGTTGGAATTTGTACCTATTGGCCTGCGTCTTACCCATTGGGCCCTTCTAATATTTGAGATGGACATTATATTGCGTCTCACTCCATGCTTTTCCAGGCTAAACATACCCAACTCCCTTCAAACTTTTCTCCCATGAATCTATAGTTAAATGCCACCCCATTCAATCACTTAACATTTTTGGTTATCAGTAAGCAACTATAGTTATGGATATGGTGATTATCACACAGTGGGCCAGATTCAGCTGTTTATTTCTGCTAGTAGCAGCTACTGCAATGAGTCCCGCTTGGGTGACGAGGCTTCCTCCCCCTCCCCAAGTGCCCCTCAACTGCCTTGGGAGGTGTGGGTCAGGAAAACCTTCAGAACAGCATGCTGGCAGAGGAGATGGCAGGTTGTTCTGTCTGGCAAGCAGAGATGCTGATGTAATTATCATAACGGCACAACACTGAACAGAGATGGCTCATGGGGAGTGCGCCTGTTGCAGTTACACCGGCTCAGAGCTTATGGGGTGCCCAAGTAGGCTTTGCCACCATTATTCCAATGGAAGGTGAGAGGCGGCGGTGGCAGCAGATTTTGGAGTCATCCATGAAACATGAGATGCCGAGGTCTGCCACAACTGAATCCCAGCTCATATCTATACCATAGGGTAAAGGTAAAGGGACCCCTGACCATTAGGTCCAGTCGCAGACAACTCTGGGGTTGCGGCGCTCATCTCGCTTTATTGGCCGAGGGAGCCGGCGTACAGCTTCTGGGTCATGTGGCCAGCATGACTAAGCCGCTTCTGGCCAAATAGAGCAGTGCATGGAAACGCCGTTTACCTTCCCGCCAGAACGGTACCTATTTATCTACTTGCACTTTGATGTGCTTTCGAACTGCTAGGTTGGCAGGAGCTGGGACCGAGCAACGGGAGTTCACCCCGTTGCGGGGATTCGAACCGCCAACCTTCTGATTGGCAAGTCCTAGGCTCTGTGGTTTAACCCACAGCACCACCTGTGTCCCAACATCTATACCATGGTTGTACCCTTATTTCAAGAATATTAAATTACTTCATTGGGTGCTACTTTTATATAACTGGTGCTACACAAGAATTGTGTGGCTCTTGTAAGTGTCATGTACATATGCAAAAAGAGCTGCTTGACCAATTTGCACAAGGTTAAAGGTAAAGGACCCCTGACAGTTAAGTCCAGTCGCAGACGACTCTGAGGTTGTGGTGCTCATCTCACTTTACAGGCCAAGGGAGCCGGCGCTTGTCTGCAGACCGTTTTTCCAGGTCATGTGACCAGCATGACTAAGACGCTTCTGGCGCAACGGAACACCGAGACCAGAGCAGCGCACGGAAATGCTGTTTACCTTCCTGCCGGAGTGTGCTTTCGAACTGCTAGGTTGGCAGGAGCTGTGACAGAGCAATGGGAGCTCACCCCGTCGCAGGGATTCAACCCGCCAACCTTCTGATCGGCAAGCCCAAGAGGCTTAGTGGTTTCGACCACAGCGCCACCCACGTCCCTCCAATTTGCACAAGCAATCTGCAATTCCAAACCTTACAGAGTAAACTACATAGTAGTTGTTTAAGAAAAATTGCTCATGGACCCAGAAGTTTAAGTCCTGAAATCTCCTAAACTCTCCTTGGCACTTAAAACTGCAATATTACACACAGTTATTTGGGAATAGGCTACATTAAGCTCAGTAGGGCTTAGTTCTAAGTAACTATGATCAGGATGCATGACCATTGCAACAATGCAGGGGGGGGGGTTGTGTTTGGGGGGGCGGGTAGTTCAACCAACTGCAACCAAATTGGTTATTATCACCATTGATTTATTCATCACCTTCTAACTTAGATTATAGGCAATCTTATTGTCATAAAACATTTGTCTCATGTCCTCCTTTTGCATTCTAAAAGTAAAAGCTTGCACCCCTCAAAAAAGGCTGTCAAGGAAACCTCGAGTGAAAAACTTGTTTTGTTCTTTGTGCTTGATTTTATTTCAATCTGACCCCTAACGAGCAGCAACAAAGTATTGGTACACCAATATTGTACAACATTTTACATTATGATCCTTTTATTTTTAATTCTCTGCATGTACACACACACACACACACACACACACGTAATTATAAACAGAAACAAATTTTAGCCGAAAGCTTTTATTGAGCAGCAACTATTCTGTTATTTATAAGCCCGTTTCCTCTCTCACAAAGAGACCTTTTGCAGGGCTCCCTCCCCCTCCTGCCTCCCTAACAGCTGCTCTCAATGTTGTATCCTGAGTGATGATGAGGTTCTGAAAGTGTTTTTTTGGAACAGATGGCTAGGAGAGTGCTGGGGAATGTGCCAGCAGAAAGCTGGGGGTGTGCCAAATCCTGCAGTGACTGAGTGCTTTGGGTTCCAGCTCGCGTGCCTTTCCTCTGCCCTCTGCCCTGAGTGGCGCCAGCAGGACTTCCCAACTAGCATTCTGAACATCTGGAGTCTGGGACTGCCAGGAGAGCAAGAGAGGCGGGGGGGGGGGAGAAGGAGGGGGAAGGAAAACCCTTCCTGCTCCAGCTCAGCTTCCATCTACTCAACAGTGTTGCTCGCGCACAGAACAACTAAGAAGAACAAAAAAAGGAGCACATATGTGGGTACACACAACACACACAACACACACACACGAAAGTTAACCAGTGGCAGGTCAACAACCTCCCCCAACGGCTAGTCACTGTCACATTCAGAAAACTAAAGCAGCAAGCAATATTGCCTTTCCAGCACTGGAGTCAGAGTGGCTGGGTGCTACAGAGAAGGGAAAGGGCAGCCAAGAAACATCTAGCTTCTCTCTGATTGTGATGCACATGAGATACTTTCCGAGGATCACATTCTGCTCCTTTATTGCTCCATTTCACAAAGAAATTTGAGCGCAATTCTCAGGATGTTGCTGGGTTTTCAAAAAGGTGACACAAACCATATAATGTCAAAATGAACCTATTCTAGTAGCAGTTACAGGTAGGTAGCTGTGTTGGTCTGCCATAGTCGAAACAAAATAAAAAAATTCCTTCCAGTAGCACCTTAAAGGTAAAGGGGAAAGGGACCCTTGACCATTAGGTCCAGTCGTGGCCGACTCTGGGGTTGTGGCGCTCATCTCGCTTTACTGGGCAAGGGAGCCGGCGTACAGCTTCCGGGTCATGTGGCCAGCATGACTAAGCCACTTCTGGCGAACCAAAGCAGCGCACGGAAACGCCGTTTACCTTCCCGCTGGAGCAGTACCTATTTATCTACTTGCACTTTGACGTGCTTTCGTACTGCTAGTTGGCAGGAGCAGGGATCAAGCAACAGAAGCTCACCCGGTCGCGGGGATTCGAACCGCTGACCTTCTGATCAGTGAGTCCTAGGCTCTGTGGTTTAACCCACAGTGCCACCCGTGTCCCATCCGCCACTCGCGTTGTTGTATGAGCGTTCGTGTGCATGTACATGAAGAAGTGTGCATGCACACAAAAGCTCATACCAATAACAAACTTAGTTGGTCTCTAAGGTGCTCCTGGAAGGAATTTTTTTATTTTGTTTCTATTCTAGTAGCCTTTGTGTCCTGTGTCCTGTTCGTTTGTTGTACACACAGAGTTGATATATATGGCAAATCTTTGTACAGTGGTACCTCGAGTTACATACGCTTCAGGTTACAGACTCCGCCAACCCAGAAATAGTACCTCGGGTTAAGAACTTTGCTTCAGGATGAGAACAGAAATTGTGCTCCGGCAGCGCAGCAGCAGCGGGAGGCCCCATTAGCTAAAGTGGTTCTGGAGGTCCGGTTAAGAACGGACCTCCAGAACGAATTAAGTACTTAACCTGAGGTAGCACTGTATTGCCAATTAAGGGTCTGAAGGAAGGCGTTGGGGCAGAATTAGATATCATGCATACAAAGGGCCTCTGGCAAATATCTAGGGCAAATATCTGAGAATCAGGGAACGATTAACCATTATGCTATGAGTACCTTGAGGAATGAATCTGGCGTCTTCTTATGGACAAATATCTAAGCAGTTCTGCACATTACGATAACTCAAGGAAACAACCATGTTACACCAGTTTTCCTACAGCAAATACATAAAATTATACACCCACCCACCCACCCACCCCTTGAAACCTTGGTCTAATTGAGATTCCCAGACCTCTCTACATGCTTGCTTAAAGACGTATGGGCATGCATTTATTACATTCACCCTTTATATATTTGCTGTGAGGAACGCTGGTGTTTCCTGCAGGAGTCCTAAGGGAATTTGCCTCACCTTGCATGAAACTATGCAACTATCTCAGGCAGAGTTGGCCATCAAAGCAGTGTGTCCTCCAGGAATATTCCAGCTGGCCTAGGGGAACAATATCCTTTACCTCAGTCCTACAAACAGCAGGGTCAGCTTTGTGGTCAGAATTTTAAGAGCTAAAGATATCCATTGAAGCACAGCAGCTGCGCGTTCAGACTACAAATGCAGCAGCTGACTGCTGACAGCAGCCTATTTGTTTGAACGCAGATCACACGGATATTACATTAGTTGCACTGGCTCCCACCTTGTTCCCAGGCTCAATTCAAGGTGCTGTTCCTTACCTTCAAAGCACAGGAGAGCACCTTCTTGTCTGTGGCCCCCCAAACTGTAAAACTGCTGCAGGGAATTCAGCACACCACCTCACTGTGTGCTTTTATTGAGCTGCAGACAAAAGCACTTTAGGTGTGCATTTTATGGAAATGCTTGCAAATTCTGACTGCTCAGGTTTGTTGATCTGGCTGGTTGTTCTTAGCATTTATTACTGCTGGTGACCAGTTGCTTATTAACTTGTTATAACAGTCTGATAGCTATTTTACATTGTTTTGTACTGCAAGCTCCCCTGAGGGTTCAAAGAGGATGAACAGTGTGAGGTCAATAATTCCAGTAACTTTTTTGCTATGCTCTGAATGCTCATGGGAACTATGCAGTAGGCAAGGAAGCGAGGCCAAAGCTCAGTGGCAGAGCAGATATTTTTCATCTACAAGGTCCCAAGTATAGTCCCCAGTGTCTTCAGATAAGCCTGGGAAGGACATATGCCTGGGAACAACCTGGAGAGCTGGTGCCATTCATAGATTATACTGAGCCGATGTACCACCAAGGGGCTGACTTAGTCCTACGTTACCAGGAAAGAGCCACATTTTATTTAGTCTGCTTTATCAATGATCTGCTTCTTCTCAGCCGTCATTCCTGCAACAACTGCTGTAAGAGAAGTTCTTGTGTGTGCTGTGAGAGATAAAGCAAATGAAATAGTGGAAGTCTCCCATAATCCTCAAAAGCTGCATCTCTGCACAATTTACCTTGCCTCCTACGCATCGGCCTCCCCCAAGAGTAAGTAGATAAACTGGTGGCAGGAATGACGATTGGAAACTTTCGGTTACCCCCATGAATTTCCCTGCACTCAGAGGACACAGTTAACTGACCAGGATTTGTGTCCTGTCCTGATAGATGAGCCACCAAAACCAGCAACTTTTTCTAGGAGCAGACAATGCTTTTTTTTATATCATCGGAAGTAAACTTTTTTTCTGAGCATAAGAGTGAAATGGGCCTCTGATTTAAATCAGAAACATAGGCTCCGTCTTGGCTAGTGTTTCTATGTTCTACCTCTACAGCTGGAGGCATTCTGCCTCTGAAGAAGTGTTGCTGGGAATCACAAGTGGAGACAGTTCCTGTTTGTGGGCTTCTGGTTGGCCGCTGTAAGAATCAGTGTTAGAAACTGAGATAGGAAAGATAGGAGCTAAATGGCACCTTAAAACCTAGGTTGGGGACTCAACAACTGAATGCCTAGGCGCACTTTTTTATAGCAAGAATACAAAGCTGAAAATGAACTGCAGCTAAAATATTGCATACATTTTTCACATGGTGTAGTCCTTCCCCTGCCCACCCACCTAATATTCTTAAGAGGGTCTCTTCTCCGGTCTTCAGTAGATGGAAGTGGGGAGGCAGGAAAAAGGTCCTCCTTTCCTTCTACTCTGCAGTTTTAATCTGAAATCTTAGGCACAGTACGGCACCCAGAGCTCAGAAACTGCTCGCGCTAATGAAATTCCCTGTTGCAAAATGCGCCTAGAGCAATGGGAGTTTCGAACACTGGTAAGAATAGGATGCTGGAATTGATGGCCTTTGGTCTAATCCTGCATAGTTCTTATGTTCAATTTTCTCCTATGGAGGGGGGGGCAGCAAGCTTTTCAAAGCTGACTGAATGATGGCCCTCTAAGAGAGAGAAGCATTAAAAAATATATCTTTTTTAGTAGCTTATTAAACTCCTTATTTTTTAATTCCCAAACTACCTCCAGCACTCAATTAAACATTCACCCATACTGAACTCACCCATAGAGCTTAGTATTTTAGCACTGGAAGAAGTGAGATGGAGCACAACATTTATCCACGATTTCCTGCTGTAATAGCAAAATGGAACGGGGATGGGAAACAGTATTTCCATGCTGGGAACATCATATAGATGATCGAACACAAAGGTTATACGCAAGCCGGTAAATGTAACATCTGGAGCCTCTGCCTGCCAGAACAAGCTCTAACCAGCTACATCTGGGGAGTGTGAAAAGCTTGCCCCGCAGTGGAAAAATGGAACAAGTCTGAAAGTGACACAGGGAGGGAGAAAGAGGAAGCAGACTGTAGTATTGCATTCTGCAGTCAGGTGGGCTTGCGGGAGACTGATTATATTGGCTCACTGAATCTTTCAGTTCACAATCAAATAATTTCCTATGGCTACTTAGTGAACAGCAGGCTAAAAACACACCACACAGAAAGCATGTTAGTTTCCAGGTAGAAAAGAGAGGGTTTGTTTAAATAATCAAACTGTAGGTCTAAGTCTCTCAGCCAGTACAGAAATGCTGTTGTACAATCAAAGATAAAATGGATAGATATCACACCTCTTTAACAGGGCTTTACATCTAACATGGACAGTGGACACAGATTACATATATAAAATATGAAGCGCCTTTTAAATTATATATTTAGAGACAGGAACATAGGAAGCTGCCTTATACGGAGACAGCCCATTGGTCCGTCTAACTCAGCATTGTCAGTGTTAAGTTGTGGGTGAACATATCAGACGACACAGCGATTCTTCAAACAGCTCTTGTTTATTCACAGGCCAGAACAGAACTGAACTGAAGGGTTCAGCCAGCCTGCTTATATAGAGCTCCACTACAATGCAACAGTAACCATTTTCTGTAACTATCCAATCACTGAACGTCACTTTCAATCCCGTATTTGCATATGTGGACCTGAGTGAAAACTATCTACAGTATCCTCCTGCTGGCCCAGGGTGAGAACTTCAGTACATAACAGTCAACATGGACTGGCCAAGGCTCTTTAGTGTCTCCGATGGGAATCTTTGCCACGCAGCCTGTGGCTGCTGGGGGTTAAACCTTCTGCAAGCAAAGCATGCACTCTGCCACTGAGCTACAGCCCTTCCCAGGCCACCCTTTATTTTTGAAAAATGCATTGTATCTAATGGTCCATACAAAGATGCAGCTGGGTAACAAAAGGGATTTGCAAGCACTACTGATTGGTGGCATCTGCAAAGCCTGTTCCAAGCTTTGCAGAGAGCTGCACCTGGCACTTTGAAGTTAGGGTTTGAAAATGCCATCCACAGTGCAGGTAGCTAGCTATTCTGGCACCCGGAGCACTGGGGGCGGGGTGATCCGCCTATGGGGGCGCCATGGCAATCCGTGCACGGAGTCTGCCTGGCGGACGCAAGCCCCACGCTGCTGTTTCTGGCAGCACGGGGCCCCGAGCCACCGCGTCACTCCCAGGAGAGACGCGTGGCCTGGGCGTGCTGCAGGCTAGGCCCCGTGGTAGATGCTGCCCCCCCCCCGGCGGCGTGCCATTTTGTCACCCCTTCAGGACACCCCTCCCTATGCTCCTGCCACAGAGTGCTTCAACCTGCACGGTTTAATTTTAAACCTGACATCAAGTTTCATCCATGTAGTTTAAAATTCACCTATCGAACTTGTCCCATCAGGGAGAGAAGTACCCAGGTTGCTCTCCTGATCCAAGCCCCTTCCCCTAAATTTATGGGGTAAATTCATTTTTTGACCTAACCTCGCTGTGAAAAAAGGCTGTTGCACCTGCCTGCAAATCAATGCCGATTTTGCTATTGGCTTACCCCATATGTACATTTATTCAATTCAGCCAGGCATGTCCAAAGTCCGTTCCGAGGGCCTAATCTGGCCTGCCTGTCAATTTTATCCGGCCCCTGTGGCAGTGTATGTCCTGGGGTAAAATCCTTTAAAAAGCTCAACTTTGGTCGGCCCTTACGCATGTTCACTTCATTAAATCTGGCCCTCTTTGAAAAAAGTTTGGGTACCCCTGAAAGCCTTTTTCTTTTCTTCTTTTCTTTTCTTTTGCCAATTTTTCAAAGCTAACAAATTGCTCCAGGGGAGGCAACTTTGTGATGTCACAGAGGTGAACCGCCAGTGATCCATGTGCTTGACTGCGGCTGCAAATGTACAGAACAAAGTTTCTGGCCCTGATCCTAATTTACATTCCCTCCACAATCCTCTGATTTAGCCATGCTGATCTACCAATAAGTCTCTGATGGAGAAGAATGGGGTCGTATTGCTGTGTCTATTTATAAACTACATTTTAATGAAATGATTGCTAGGATAAACAGAAATCACATTGCTCTGCGGAGTAGGTAACTCTTAAGAGTCAAGAAGTATCCCTCAAGCTTAGCTATCCATTTGCCCATTAAAACCCAGCTGATTTATTACCCTGCATGCAACCGAGTCTGAAATGCAGATAGGAAGTTCACTCGTAGTTTACAGATCTCTTTTTGTCATAAAACCCTGAGCAAAGGCATCAATCTCTCCTCTAATTTATCCATGTCACTTTCTGGGCGGAAAACTGATGGAAGACTTGGTTTCCTCCTTAGCATAGTTTGATGAAGATTTCAACTAATTGACTAAGGGTTTTAAGTTAACCTAAAGGAATGCAGTGCGTGACAGGTTTCTTGTTTATCTTTAATATTGGCATTTGCACCTCTCTTTTAAGTGTCTGTTCACATGGCAAAGTTGTGTAGTAGTTAGCCTAGTGTCAGGCTAGGAGAGGAGAGATCTCCATTCAAATCCCCTTTCACCAGTGAAACTCACTGGGTAATTCTGGGCCAGTCATTCCTGTCAGCATTATCTGTCTCAGGGTGTTGTTGCGAGAATGAAAATGGAATAAGGATGCAGCCTTAAGCTCCTGGTATAAAAGGCGGGATATCAATATTTCTAAAAGCCTCCAGATGATTGCTTGATACTTCCCAGCATGCTATTACAGAACTGTGCCATATGTCTGGGCAAACCAGTTCACGCATTGTGTGTTTTTAGATCCCTGTGAGAGTCCCATAAATCATCGGTAAAGGGACCCCAGCCGTTAGGTCCAGTAGTGGACGACTCTGGGGTTGCGATGCTCATCTCCCTTTACTGGCCGAGGGAGCCAGCGTTTGTCCACAGACAGCTTCTGGGTCATGTGGCCAGCATGACTAAGCCGCTTCTGGTGAAACCAGAGCAGCACACAGAAATGCCGTTTACCGTCCCACCAGAGTGGTACCTATTTATCTACTTGCACTTTGGCGTGCTTTCAAACTGCTAGGTTGGCAGGAGCTGGGACCGAGCAACATGAGCTCACCCCGTCGCGGGGATTCGAACCACCAACCTTCTGATCGGCAAGCCCTAGGCTCTGTGGTTTAGACCGCAGCGCCACCCACGTCCCCATATAAATCATATGGGTGCACAAAAAGGCAAGCATAAGGTAGCTCCAGGATGATAGACAAAAGCGTGGGGAGAGCCAGTGGGTAAGCCTTCTTGTCAGAAGGGGGAAATGCTAATTCAAGATTGCAACCTGCTAATTCAGGGGCCAACCTAACATGTCAGTACTCAGAGGATAAAGAAGCAGTTCTGACAAGCCTAGATTCTGCTTTGGATGTCCATACTAGACAGGCTGGTGCCACTTCTGATTTTTTTGGGGGGGCACATTAAATGGATTTTCTGTAGTCTGATAAAAGCTGGAAAACACAGAAGGACAACATTTTGATGACCCTTGGGAGCATCCTTGTTTTGGAAGTCATTCCCATGGCCTCCTGCATGGGAGCACACTCTCTGTTCATGGGGGTGAAGGTGTTGATATTTCTAAGTGGAGACACCAGAGCACTCAGTCCATGTTTAAAAGAATTTGTTCCTTTATTACTGCCCTACAAGTAGTGCTGCTTCACTCACCATAAAACTTTAGCTTTCCCTTTCAACCCCTGAGTATTCATTATCTCACAGCCTAAATTACACTAATTGCCCTCTGTTTGCTGCTATTCCAACAGAAAGAAGTTACCCAAACTAGTCATTCTGAAGAGTGGGGCCTCCTTAATCCTCAAGAGGCAGAACCCACAATTCTTTCTCACTGCCTCCAACTTTCTCAGGTGCCAGGGAAGTGAGAACAGCAGCCCAACCTGGGGTGTGTGTTTGTGTGCGGTTTGAAGCCCTGGCAAATACGCAACGTTGCGATACTCTCAAGCCAATCAGGTGTTCAAGTCTCAGTAAGGGGAATGGGGTGGTGTTAAAAACTGCAGTTCCACCACTGGCGGTGAGGGTTGGTTCAGAGAGAGATTAATTACCTTGTCTTGTTGCCTTTTGCTCCCCTCCTCAGAGATTACATTAAACAACACTGAAAAACATAGCTGAATAACTGTGTTTTTATGGTTTGCAAATAGTGTCCTAGAGATGGCTGTTTTCAGGGAAGACAGCAGCATAGCTTCATCAATATTACTCTTGTATTCAAACATAGAAAGGAATGCAAGTGAAGCATGTAAATAAACTTCCATTAGAACGTAAATAAAAAGGTGAAAGGATGCAGAAGACTGGAGAAAGTCATAAGCGTAAACAACCAACAGCAAAAAGAACCAGCAAATGTTGGTAAGACTAAAGAGGTTACGCATCCATTTATAACTGGCTGTCATTTTATCCTCCCGAAACATACCTTCCTTTTTTTAGACCTCCCTTCCGCTTGCAAGGTCCTAGTGCACTGCTCCACACATTCCGAGAAGCTCATGTTACTGTGGTCGGCACTGTAATCTAGGTTGGCTAGTCTAGCCAAGGAGAGTATATAGTTACATGCTATCCTCAGGATGGCCAGTTTGGATAGCTTCTGTCCATAGGAATAGCAGGGAACCTAGAAAGACCAAGAAGAGCAAATTAGGGCGGATCATCAAAACTCAACACTTGAAAGGCTACCAGGTACACCTGTTTGCTCCTGTTTCATCTTGCGAAATATCGACGGGCAACTGCAGGTGTGAAACTGTAACATTACCATAGATAGCAATGATAAAACCTCAGATGTCGAGCCTCTGTGTTATACAACATGCAGCTGTTGGTAAATAAATAAATAAATCATCATCATCATCAAATTTCTTGCTCCTTTTATTTGCAAAGGGGTAACAATCCTGTTCTTGCTATTTTCCTGGAGAACAACTACCACTCGTTATATAGGACAAACATTACATGTATAAATAAATAGTCAGATGTTGCATATTCTACTGAATGTATGGAACTCAAGCTATTGTCCATGCATAAACCTCAGATGGGACTGCTATAGAAACCATTGATTGACCTACATCATTCCAGGCTTGCAGCTGCAGACATCTGCCAACTGCTACAGAAGCTGCCATGGTGAAGCCACGAGATCAACCTAAATGTGTTGATGCCACTGTGTGAACAAAAACAACAGTAGCAGCAGTTTTCAGGCACTTATTTCAGAAGTCTGCATAACTGACCGAGGGAGGCAACGGGGCAAAATAAATAAAGTGAAAAGCAAAATCTCTCAGACAACTTTCAGCTCTCCCCAGACCTGTTGTCTGTCTCTATGCATATTAACCTGGGAGTAAACACAATAATATGATCATTTGCAGCTAAGTTGCATAATAGCTGGGTTATACAAGATGATGCTTTAGGTTTCTTAAGTAGATGTCACATAAACGTTGATGGTGTTACTGCTGCTTGAAGGTGTCTAAGTGGCTACCCTAGTTCCTTTCCCTGACCATAGCCCATTTCATTTCCTAACGCCACCATAACGCCACCATAGCTAGCTCACAGGTGTGTTCAGGTGGAGTCCCTTGGAGTCTTCCCATTGTTCAGGGTTTCTGGGGTCTTTCTTCACCAGAAGTCTAGACTGTGACTTGTTTCCTCAACTCCACTGTCACTGTGGCCTCAGCTCTACCAAAGACTGTTACTGGAGTCCTCTCCCGCAAGCATTCGCAGCTTTCAGGTTGGCTACTCAGTCTTCATGAGCTGCCAGCCTCTGCTGCTTCTGAGTCTTCCTCTCCAGGCTTCTTTGTGCCTCTTCAGAGTTCATCAAGGCTTGCCTGACTGACCCTCATAACTGTCCTGAGCTTGGTCTTGTATTCCCATCAGCTTGTTCTATAACGATGGACTGATACAAATGACCACCTTTGGATGCTAGAGCTCTGTACATAAGAGGCAAAATCTTGAAAGTACACAGTCGCACCCTTAACAACAGTGACTATCCCAGATTAACTGCCACTTGGAGGATTGCTGGGTACATTTGTGTTTCTCAAACAGTGGACAGTGGGCCTCAGTGCCAAAGCCTGCCCAGAGCCTCCTCACTTGCCTGTCCCAACTCCTAACCCATGTCCAGTGCCAACACAAGCAACTACTTGCATGCTGAGTAAAGGTGTCTTGGGGAAAGATGTTCAGAGGGGCAGAAAGTGTGGGAATCAGACTCTAGTTCCCATTTGCAGAGGAAGACAGCCCTGGGTCCTTTGACCCTTCAATTAGTTCTCTTTTCTCCTCCTATAAAAACCATGCAACACAGTCTCCTTTAAAGTTTAAAGAACAAATAACTTACTTAGTGTACTTGCAGTTGCAGATTAAAAATACCATGCAGGTAGACGATACTTAAGTCGCAAAAACATCTTATATAGATTTGACTGGCATTTACAGACTGGCTAGTACTCTGAGGCAGACAGTGGCACAACATAACATCCCTGCTGCCCTTACTGTTAAGACTGTTAACTGGCACAACTGTACCAATTGCCATAGCTGCCACAGAGTGCAAGACATCACAGAGTTCGACAGCTCTTGCAATTAATGCTTCACATGTGCATTTTAGATGCTAGCATCCCACGGAAAGGAGGACCAAAGGAGGTGTTGAAGGAGATTAGAAAGTGAGATCCAAGGTTAGTATTTATTAACAACAAATGAATTCATAAACTGGGAATGAATATGAAAGATGCTACAGGAGGAAGAAGTGAATGTAAAAGGACCAGGGAGGAGGGAAACTGGTACATGGGCGTAACTGGGGGGAGCAGCTGTCCCCCCCCGCATCAAGTAAATAAATAAAAAATACTTAACTAACTGACCAACTGTGTCACAGATAACTTGGTTCTGCTCCTCTAGCATAAAAAGTAATTATTATTATTTTTTCTTGTGAGTTTTTCTTTATACTGGGAGGGAGTAATTCAGAGCAGTGAAGAGATACTTAACCTGTTCCTACCTGGTGGGTGTTGTTTTTTACTGCAGGTTTCCTTTGAAAGTAATTTCCCCCTCCGGGGGCCCAGATGAATGTATGGGAGGGCAGACACACATCTGGAACCCTGTGGGGAAGACGTAGGTTGGACAATGGTATATCAAGTGGGAAAGTGACCACAGGGGAAGAATTAAGCATTCCCTGCTGCCAAAGCTTCTCTGTTCCATACTGGTCTGCTACTGATTGTTTTTTGGGTGGGTGGGGAAGCTTTTTCAGGGAGAGTTACATATCTGAATATGTAACATCTAGTTCAGCTCTCCGAATTTCCTCCTTTGGAGATGAATTAAATCAAGTCTTTGAAGCTTACTCTACATGACTTTCTTACAGAAGATTTGAAACACATGGTTTGCATTTCCCCCCCTACATAGACATGTTATCTGTGCAGGAAATTCACCATATCTAAAAATTTGAAGGAACCCACAAAGTAGGTATGCTGAAAATACTCAAAGGGGTGTGGGGGGGAAGCATGCAGCAATGTGCTCAAAACAAATAACGTTGTTGTTCTGCAAATGAAGTCTTCCAAAACAAATCTTGGCTTCCAACACAAATCTTGGTTTATCTGGAGAGAAACAAACCATGAAGATTTGTTGGCATATGATGGTAAGCTTAGACTTATGGTTTGTTGCTCCTGGCTTGAAGTGCAAAGCAAAACATGAGGAGTTCAGCAGCATGCAGTCGCGCACTGTAAGCCATGTTCACAGTAAGCCATGGTTTTTGGCAGGGATGGAGAACCTCAAATCCAGGGGCCAAAACTACCTCCCCCCAGTTTATCTTTATATGGCACTTGGAACTCTTCCCACACCACACCTCTCACAGGCTCTGCTTCTCCCCCTGCTCTTGAGCTCTGATACTGCTCTTGCTCCTCTAGATGGAAGATAGAGAGGGGAGTGTCAGCGGATGTGGACACTTGCCCATTGGACAAAAGTAAAATGTGCGCTTGGTGACTCTGTCCACCGCTGGCCCATGTCCTGCGAAGATTGCACAGAAGAGAATGTGACCTCCCCAGGCTGAAGAAGGGTCCCCATCCCTTGTTTATGACTTTCCATGATGCGTAAATTTGGTTAGTATCTCCTTTCCAGTTAGCAGCTTGAACAGTTTATCGAACTGTATGGAATATTCCTTCTGCTGCAAGGGATGGAGAAAATAACTTGACAGGAGTGGACAAGGAGACAGGGCTAGAGTTTTGTGGAAATTTTATCATAATCTGCTTTAATTGGTAAGTAAGATCATGGCCACTGGTCCCATCACCTCCTGGCAAATAGAAGGGGAAGAAATGGAGGCAGTGAGAGATTTTACTTTCTTGGGCTCCATGATCACTGCAGATGGTGACAGCAGCCACGAAATTAAAAGACGCCTGCTTCTTGGGAGAAAAGCAATGACAAACCTAGACAGCATCTTAAAAAGCAGAGAAATCACCTTGCCAACAAAGGTCCGTATAGTTAAAGCTATGGTTTTCCCAGTAGTGATGTATGGAAGTGAGAGCTGGACCATAAAGAAGGCTGATCACCAAAGAATTGATGCTTTTGAATTATGGTGCTGGAGGAGACTCTTGCGAGTCCCATGGACTGCAAGAAGATCAAACCTATTCATTCTTAAGGAAATCAGCCCTGAGGGCTCACTGGAAGGACAGATCCTGAAGCTGAGGCTCCAAGACTTTGGCCACCTCATGAGAAGAGAAGACTCCCTGGAAAAGACCCTGATGTTGGGAAAGATGGAGGGCACAAGGAGAAGGGGACGACAGAGGACGAGATGGTTGGACAGTGTTCTCGAAGCTACCAGCATGAGTCTGACCAAACTGCGGGAGGCAGTGGAAGACAGGAGTGCCTGGCGTGCTCTGGTCCAGGGGGTCACGAAGAGTCGGACACGACTAAACAACAACAGCAACAACAAGTTGTCACAGGGAAAAAAATCAGTCACAACATCAAAATCCCATGCTGAGCTTCTGCTCTTTCTGGAGAGCCTCTCTTATGCAGAGCAGGGAACTTGTGGCTCTCAGGACCACAACTCCCATTATTCCCAAACACTGGCCAAGCTAGCAAGGTCCCATGGGAGCTGCTGCTCAACAACATTTGGAGGGCAATCTTCTAGCAACTTCAGAATTGGCTCTGCAGAGTCAAAATAGGTAAGAGGTATATTAAACTGTTGAAAGAATATGCAAGATTTGAAGCTACAGAAACAGTAATAGAAAGGACAGGTAATTTGTGCTCAGTTATGAATACAGCAAAGCAACATCCATGCACATGTAAATACTTCCAAGAAAATAGCTAGACCACAAACCATTTAGCACATCAAAAGCTGTACTTAAGTCAGTAGGGTATTAATTACTGTTGTAACAAGCCAAGATTCCTGTTCAGCTCATTGTTCTTGGTTTTTCACAAGGTTTATACACAGGGCTGTTTATAAAGTCCTTGATGTGATTAAAACATTGAAATGTTACTAAACTGAGATAAAGCAGCCATTCTACTTACTATATTAGGTTGTTTAACTGCTTTTTCTGTTTATGCAACAAAACCTTAATTCTGATGTGGCTGAAGGTGAACATCTGCCATATTACACAACAACAAGTAAGATGTGCTTCAACCTTTGCAAAATAGAACTAAATGATGGCTCTACTTAGATGTTATGGGGGCTGTAGCCAAGCCAGATCTTCCCCAATATGTCTCCTTGTTGGACAGGGACCGCCTTCAAAGGCAACATCGGCCCCTTCCCACAACTAACCTCCTTCAGTCATTCTCCTGTCACACAAAAAAACAGTTGTGTGAGAGCAAGTGTGGGGCTGCACTCACTTGCCCCTCATCTCCCATTCACACGAAGCACAGAACCTCCTTGTTGTGGGGGTAGGCTTTCCAGTAATCCCAGCATTGAGCATCAACTGATGTGTGTGTGGGGGGGTCTATCCTGCTTGGTTGCTATCTAGCCCACCCGTGCTGGCCAACTTTGCCAGATGGGCATGTCCACCCACCTGCCAATCATCACCTGATGTCATTGTGATAGCTGATAACACAAAGTTGTCAGAATTAGTCTACAGAGGAAGACAAAGATTTGGCCTGCTGGGCCACAAAGGTTCCTCATCTTTAATTTAATACTTAGGATGGTGGGCAAAAGTCCCCAGACCAACAGTCCATGTCAATCTTCTGGAACCAACTTTCAAGTAAAGATTGAAACCACCATAGCATAGTGTTGCTAAGTCAGTTTTTGCCATGCAGTTTTTGCAGCTTTTCAGAATGCTTCAATCTGAATAAAGAGAAGTCGGCTGTGGCTGGCACTAAAAAGCTAGTGCCAACGGTATTGCCAAACTGCTGGGGCACATCTGCAACTATTTCCAGAATGTTCATTCTGTAAAAGGTAAAGGGACCCCTGACCATTAGGTCCAGTCGCAGATGACTCTGGGGTTGTGGCGCTCATCTCGCTTTATTGGCTGAGGGAGCCAGTGTACAGCTTCTGGGTCATGTGGCCAGCATGACTAAGCTGCTTCTGGAGAACCAGAGCAGTGCACGGAAACGCCGTTTACCTTCCTGCCAGAGTGGTACCTATTTATCTACTTGCACTTTGATGTGCTTTCGAACTGCTAGATTGGCAGGAGAAGAGACCAAGCAACAAGAGCTCACCCTGTCGTGGGGATTCGAACCGCCAACCTTCTGACCAGCAAGCCCTAGGCTCTGTGGTTTAGACCACAGTGCCACCCATGTCCCTCAACCACTGACTTAGGGAGAAGCATTCAAGCAGTAATCATCTTCATGACAACCAATCAGTCTTCTTAGCAAAATGATTGTGCATGTATCATGTCCAAGCAGATAAAAGCAGATAAAGTAGAGGGAACAGGCAAGCCTGCTGTCTGAATGAGCATTCATCTACTGATATACTAGGGAAATTTGCAACATTCAGTTGCAGCGGGGTTCTTTCCCTGGAAGAATTTGCTGTTCTTCACTGCTGAAGTTTGTCTTTGCCAAAGCCTATACACCACAGTATAGGTACTGACTACAGACAGAATGATAATGTTCTTGGCTCTTCTTTCCTTACACTTCCTTCCAATATATCCACATATATATTTGTATCCACACTTCACACAGAGCCAAGCATAACATATGACCAAAGTTTGCAAAAGACTTTGCAAAAAAACCCCACTAAACAGCAATTCCCTGCCCCCCACCCCGCAAAGGCTCACTGCTTTCAGACAATTTAAAATAAGAAGGGAGGGAGACAGGGAGAGAGATAGGGAGGAGGAACTTAAGTCTTTTTGAGGTTCACAGGAAGCAGGTATACCTTTTTCAAGAGTATGGGTCTAAGACCAGCAGGTTAAACTTCAGGACAGTTTGGTGACCTTTATGAGCTGGATTCACGCTACTCTCTCAGACAGTGTTCATTCAGAAAAGTTTACTATGTGATATTGTGTCTTAAATAGGAACAAAGGATACCAGTTTTGCCTTGGGATTTATTTCTTGTTTAGGCTTGTGGCTGGGTCTTTCTTTGGAAGCTCAAATATGGTTTACATCGAGGGTGAGAAACCTACAGCTCTCCAGGCATTGGACATCCAATTCCCATCAACCCCAGCCTGCGTGACCAAAGAAGATGGGTACTGTAGTCCAATGACACCAGGAGGCCACAGGTTCCCCATCCTTGCCTTGAATGAAGCTTAATTCCAGAAATCTCCACCAAGGTACAGGATCATAATTTCAGAGCTTCAAAAATGCTTCAGAATCAGGTGCTCCGAAAGTCCCAGTGCTGAAGGCAATTTATCAAGCCACTTCCTCCTACGGGTGATGAGATAGCAAGAGAAGTCATTTGAGTGTTCAGTTGTTCAATGAGTGTTCATTGATGCCCATAGGAAAGTCTCCACCCCCATCGTTCTGCCCGGACACTGAGGTCCAGCTCCGAGGGCCTTCTGGTGGTTCCCTCACTGCGAGAGGCCAAGTTACAGGGAACCAGGCAGAGGGCCTTCTCGGTAGTGGTGCCCTCCCTGTGGAACGCCCTCCCACCAGATGTGAAAGCGATAAACATCTACCTGACATTCAGAAGACATCTGAAGGCAGCCCTGTTCAGGGAAGTTTTTAATATGTGACATTTTAGTGTATCTTTCATCTTTGTTGGAAGCCGCCCAGAGTGGCTGGGGAAACCCAGCCAGATGGGCGGGGTACAAATAATAAATTATTATTATTATTATTATTATTATTATTATTATTATTATTAGCAAGCATAATACAATGTCCCATCAGAGATCCTGCTTTTCAATGGCACATGAATTCTCATTCTTGCAGTCAGTGTTAGGCAACAGCTAAAATATATTGACAGAAAAAGTCAATACAAATGTTCCTCATCCTCAGCAGTTATGCTTTTACCTATCTGCTGAGAAGCAGAAAAATAGAATCACAGAACTGTAGAGTTGGAAGGGACCCTGAGGGTCATTCCTTGCAGGAATCTCAACTAAATCATCCATGACATGTGGCCATCCAACCTCTGCTTAAAAACCTCAAAGGAGGGAGAGTCCATCACCTCCCGAGGGAGTCCATTGCACTGTTGAACAGCTCTTGCTGCCAGAAAGTTCTTTCTGGTGTTTAGTCAAATCTCCTTTCTTGTAACTTGAATCCATTGGCTTGGGTTCTACCCTTCAGAGCAAGACGGAACAAGCTTACTCCATCTTCCATTTGGCAGCCCTTTAGATATTTGAAGATGGCTCTCACATCTCCTTTCAGTCTCCTCTTTATCAAGCTAAACATACCCAACTCCTTCAACTGTTCCTCATAAGGCTTGGTTTCCACACCCTTGATCATCTTTGCACACGCTCTAGCTTGTGAATATCCTTCTTGGATTGTGGTGCCCAGAACTGTGCACATGACTCCAGCTGGGGTCTGACCAAGGCAGAATAGCAGTAAATGCGGATCACAGCATCCCTTTTGGTCATGTTTGGATTGTAATAACTTAATGTGGTGACTGGACATGACATTTGTGGTCTTTGACCAGGCAGTAAGTACCACTTCAAATGCTATCCAAAGTGTGGGAAAGCCTCTTTCTCATTTAGGATCTTCATTTTAACTTGAGGATCCCAACCAAGAGGGAATGGAAATCTGTTTTCTGGTGTCAAGAGGCTCTTATAAACAGAGAATTTGACTGAAATTCAATGTATGCAGATCAGTCTTACATTTATTTTTTCTTTGCTTTTAACTTGTGTTTCTATCTTATTATTTATGCTATTGTCTGGTTTTCTGTTTCTATATTGTACACCACTGTGATATTTCTTATCACATGGTGGTACATCAATATTTTTATAAATAAATAAAACTCCCGTCAGCCCCAGGGAGTGTGGCTGTTTTGAACTAAACTTCCCCATCAACTCTAGCACAGCACAGGAGCTTTAGTCCAAATTACCAGGTTTTTAATGTCCACACGAGCTCTGCTTTTGTGGCACAAGTCGCAAAAATGCAATTAATGACCAATACGGATACTAATATTAAGCCTTGGCCATTGTCTGTGAGGGCTGGTAGGAGCTGGTGTCCAAAGAAGTGCAACAATACTTTCTAAAATTGTGTGGGAGACAAGCAGAGGGAACAAGCTTGTTTTCTCCTGCTCTGGAGGGTAGGATGGCTTCAAGTTACAATAAAGGAGATTCTGAAGAAACATCAGGAAGAACTTTCTGACAGTAAGACCTGTTCCAAGGTGAAACGGTCTCCAAAAGAAGGTTGTGGTCTCTCCTTCCTTGGAGGTTTTCAAGCAGAGGTCAGGTGGCCATCTGTCTTGGATACTTTGGCTGAGATTCCTGCTTTGCAGGGGGTTGGACTAGATGACCCTTGGAGCCCCTTCCAACTCTACAATTCTGTGATTCTATGATCTCCCATCATCCCTGACCATTGGCCATATTGGCTGGAGTGGATGAGGCTAATAATATCCTGGGGGGCACCATGTTGGAGCCAGTGTGGTGTAGTGGTTAAGAGTGGTGGACTCGTAATCTGGTGAACCGGGTTCGCTTCCCTGCTCCTCCACATGCAGCTGCTGGGTGACCTTGGGCTAGTCACACTTCTCTGAAGTCTCTCAGCCCCACTCACCTCACAGAGTGTTTGTTGTAGGGGAGGAAGGGAAAGGAGAATGTTAGATGCTTTGAGACTCCTTAGGGTAGTGGTAAAGCGGGATATCAAATCCAAACTCAAATCCAAACACACACCTACACACACACACACACACACACACACACAATCCAAGGGGGAGACAGGATTTTTAACAAATACAACTTGGATTTCAGAACTTACCCCCCCCTCTCTCTCACACACACACCCAACCTTGGAAAACATGTTATGAGCACAGAGCTGGCCAACTGACAGGAAAGTGTATTTGATTAACAGGAAGATATAATTTTCACCTAGCATGAGACCCGTGTGAACTTTTGATAATAGCAATGCTTCATCCAAGTTGAGTTTTTTGGCATGGGATTGGGGGGGCGGGGAGAGGCAATTACAGGTCAACGCAAATCACAGTGTCAAGCCGAGAGCCACATACCATTCATTGTTTAAGCATCCTAGGAGAGAACCCAACGTTCTTTCGGAGCTTTCTACCCAAGCAAAACAGCCCCTTCTCCTGCAACCCAATAATCAGATTAAGAATTAAGACCAACATCTCGTGAGCAAAGCGTTGAATGGCCCTTGGGCGACGCTGCGTGTTGTAAAGGTCACCAACAAGTAATCTGCTTCTTTGGGTAGCCAATGATGCAAAGTGCAAGCATTTCACTCTTACATCTCTTTTAAAGAAGAACCAATTATGGAAGTAGGACTGATTTGAGCACAGCCTGGCATTTGCCGTAACAGGGGTGCTAAGTTGAATAAGGGGTGCTAAGTTGAATAACAGGGGTGCTAAGTTGAGTAAGTAAGTCCTACCCCACATAATCACGTGATGTGGTGCATCGACACCATATGAATGGCAACTTTTTTGGGGGGAGGCCCCCTCAAATATTTTACTGGGGAGACCAGAAGGGCCTCAGCCCCTAGGAGTTGACTCCTATGCGCTGTAGGGTCCAACCTGAGCTTCCCAGGACCCTAGCAGAGGGGTCAGGATTTGGATCCCACCCTGCAGGGGTGGGAAGAGAGCTCTGACCCAAGGTGTACAGCCCCCCAAGAAACCCTCCTGACCCAGAGCTACTGAAATAAGCAAGGCACTTCGTTTCATGGGATTGTCACGCCAAAGCGCTCTATCTTAGTTAGTGGCATGGGATTCCTCGTTTTTGTCCCCCCCCCCCCAATTTCAGGGCTCCCTGGACCCTGGTTTTAATGCTACGGCTTCAAAGGCGCACAGAGGAGAGCGTTCCTCTGAGCATACGCAGAGCGCCGGCTCCTTCCCTGCCGCTTACCTGTTTCCTCAGAGCCTCGAAGGCGGCGCTGATGGTGTGCACGCGGGTCCTCTCGCGGGCGTTGGCCAGCAGCCGCCTGGTCTGCTGGATGGCGCGGATCTCCGGGGACGCTCCCGCCGCCTCGCCCGCCCGCCGCCCGGGAGACAGGGACGCCTCGCCTCCGCCGCCGTAAGTCGGGACGCGCGAAACGGGCGGGAAGGGGCTCTCGAGCGGCCGGCACGCCATAACCCGGCTGGGCGGCAAGCTGGGCTCGGAGAAAGCCTGGCCGCCCCCCAGACGGAGCGGCCCCTCGACGTCTTTCCTCGACGGGCGCGGCTGAGGCGCCAGCAGCCCCGCGGGGAAGGCGCCTTTCCTCGCCTCAGCGCCCGCCTCGCCGCCGCCGCCGCCGCCTTCGGGGGCCCCGTCCGGAGCGCCCGCCGAGGCCGCGCGGGAGCTCCGTCCGCCGCCGCTGAGGCGCTGCTTGGCGGGCTCTTTGCTCCGCTTCCTGTGGAGCTTCTGGATGCCGCGGAGCTCCTTGAGGCAGAGGCGGCCCCAGCGCTCCTCGTCGCCGGCCAGCGGCAGGTTCCTCATGGCCTCTCCGCGCCCGGCCTCGCGCTCTGCCCGGCGACGCTGCCGCCGCCGCCGCTGCCGCTGCCCTGGCCAGCCGGGCTGTGGTGCCCGAGCCCGAGCCGGATCAGCGCGTCATCTGGAGTCCCCGCCGCGCCGCCAGCCTCGCTGCGGAATGCGCGCCGCGGCGGAGAGACCCATCTGTGTTTGCTTAGCCGCCGTTGACACAGGAGCCCCTCGGGCGGCGGGATCAGTCGGCTCGCCGGCGGCCTCTTGCCAGCGGGACGCCCGCCCGCCCGCCGCGCCCGCCTCCCGCGGCGCCCGCGCTGCCCGGCCGGTGCCCGAAGCGCTGCCCGAACAGCTGCGCTGCCCGTCTCTCGCCCGCTTTGTGCTCATGTTATTGCATCGCGCCGATTAAAGGCAGGCGCCTCCCCGCTCCCTGCGATTCCCGCCCCGCCACCGCCGAATCATCTCCATTTTTAAAGGTCCAAGGGCTGATAAGAAGGAATGGCAGATGGCCGGGGTCATCCCGCTGTCGCCCAGGGTGGGCTGCAAACTGGGGGGTGGGCTATGATAGGGGGGAGGGGGTATTTGACAGCCGCACCTCGGTTCTCAAACGTAATCCGTTCCAAAACCAAAGCGTTCCAAAACCGAGGCGTGCTTTCCCATAGAAAGGAATGCAAAACGGATTAATCCGTTCTGGACTTTTAAAAACAACCCCTAAAACAGCAATTTAACATGATGTTTCCTATCTAAGGAGAACATTGATCTGTCAAATAAAGCAATAAGCAGTGTACTGCAGTCATGAGGTTTGAAAATCATTAGACGTGGCTGATGGAAGTCTCAGGCTTATAGCCAAAATGTTGTATAGGATGAGAGGAGATGTTCTGTTCTGTTTGGAAAATGTTTGTAAAAACTAATAAAAATGTATAATAAAAACAAAACAAAACAAAATGTACTGCAGTCACAAAATCAGTAGCTGAACTGGGTTCCACACAGTCACACACACACACACACACAGCCACAAAACCACAAAATAGCAAAGACAGATAGACCTCAGTGTAACACTCAAAACAGAGCATGTTCAGCTTCCGTAAAAAGTTTGCAAACCAGAACACTTACTTCTGGGTTTGCAGTGTTTGGGTTCCAAGTTGTATGAGTTAATTGGGCTATCCCATGTCATAAAGGTAAAGGACCCCTGACCATTAGGTCCAGTTGTGACCAACTCTGGGGTTGCGGCGCTCATCTCGCTTTACTGGCCAAGGGAGCCGGCGTACAGCTTCCTGGTCATCTGGCCAGCATGACTAAGTCACTTCTGGCGAACCAGAGCAGCGCATGGAAATGCTGTTTACCTTCCCGCTGGAGAGGTACCTATTTATCTACTTGACTTTGACGTGCTTTCGAACTGCTAGGTTGGCAGGAGATGGGACCAAGCAACGGGAGCTCACCCCGTCGCGGGGATTCGAACCGCCGACCTTCTGATCGGCAAACCCTAGCCTCTGTGGTTTAACCCACAGCGCCACCCGCATCCCTATCCTATATCATACATACCTGCAATTGGGGAACTCATCACCTTCAAGCACAACAAAGTTCCTCAGTCAAAATGATCACGCTTCTGAAATGATCACAAATGCAACAGGACACCATAATATCATTAAAAACAATAATTTATTGAGGGTGCCCACAGCAAACTTTGTTTCAGGCCAGGACAAATCACACGTGCAAAGGGAAGAATTTCCCTTTATAAGATGCCAATGCAGCCTTCCTAGACCAAAACTTTCTGTGAGCATAGGGCACAGCCGAGGTTTTCACACAACAAACAATAGCCAATATATGTAGGGGGGGAGTTACTGGGGGGTGCCCACCCCAAAATGTGCTTTGAACCAGGACAAATCATACATCTAAACAAATGGGCAGTTGTCTTCTATGACACTGGTCTTCAATTTGTGGGTCACAGCCTGATCCAAAGTGGATCACACCAGGAGCACCCTCACCATTCAAATATAAGGTGAAAGATGAAGATCTGGGTGCCCAAATGCGTGTTTGGGTTAAAAGTGCTTCCTGGGTCTGAAAAGGTTGAAGATACCTGGCTTATGGGATGCCAGTGCACAACTAATGGCAACTATGCACACCAAAAGCAGACAAACCATGCAGAAAGAAAAAATAGGTAACTGTGGGTACCTACCCCAACATATACTTTGGGGCACCACAAACCATATAACAGGATATTCCAATATTTGAAACTATGATGCCAAACTGGAGCAACAAAAATTTCAGAAGCACAACTCCTACACTGACACAGAACTCTAAACCTCCGAACTACTGAACTAACACATTCCAGTTAGTAGGCCATTAATTACCACTCCCTTGAGAGAGCTTGACCAATCAGGGAGTGGTCTTCTTGTCTCTGTTATCACCAGGCAGACTTACTCCTTCAGATTGCCTTCTGTCTGCCAAACCTTAATTGACTCTGTGTGAGTAGCTGCACGTACACAGTTTCCCAACAACGTGCATGCGCAGAAGCGGCAAAAAGCAACGTGCGTGTGCGCAGACGTGCCATCGCTAGTTACGTTTGCTTCTGGATGCGAACGGGGCTCTGGAACGGATCCCGTTCGCATCCCGAGGTACCACTGTAGTTTAGGAACTCTTCCCATTTTGTAACCAAGCAACATTTTACTGCCCGTGCAAGTTTTTTAAACTGCTGTATGGAAAAACACATGAATCTGACCTTTGAAGAATTTTGCAAGTAAACCTTTTTATAAGTTACCAAGCATGTGGCCTGTGTGCTAGGGAAGTGGGATACTTTAGGATTCACTGGAAAAGGCACATTTTAAAGGTTTTACAGCCTATATTTCCATGCTTTTCTTTGCTGCATGTTTTGCCATGTTAAATCTCTGCATGGGTTCTCTCATCAAAGAGTACTTGCCCCATTCTTGGGTTTGGGCTTCCAGGGATTCCGGCATATTGTTGTGGATGGTGCTACATAATCCAAGAAAAGCTATTCCCCACAACAACCTTTCCAGAATGGAAGGGAATGGGGAAAATGGACTAGAACTGGAAGTCATTCTTATTCTAGTAGCACCGCAGACCAAGGACCTTGTTGATCTCTACTAGCAGTTTCATATCCTACAACAGCTTTTACCAACCTGATGTTTTGAGTCCTCCACTTCCATCTGCAACCAGCTTTTTCAGATGCATTTAAAAAGCAAAAGCAAAACTACCGGTAAATGTTAAGGAGCAAAGACAGAACAAGCCCAGTGGGTACATAGCTTGGCCATGAAAATGAAGCTGAGACTCGATCTTGTATTACGGCCTTCATTTTAATTATGGTGCCACAATTAACCATAAGGCAGCATAAGCATTTCGATTTTATTCATTTGCTTGCAAGAGATATATTTGAAATTTATTTTGTAAGTATGTTGCAATGTGTAAATGCACATAGTGAAAATCGTTCATATGGAAGAAGCAAGGAGCTAGTCCTACAGGAACAATTTTATTAAGAAATATTGAGATAACATAAAAAAACCCCCACACAATTTGGCATGCATACGTCAGTCCCAATTTCTATGCTTAAAAAAAGCATTTCCATAAAACTACATTTATAAAAATCAGCAGACTGATAATATAAAGAATATTAGAAGACAACATATAGTATTAATAAAAATATTTTCCCCAGTATTAGGATTAATGTAGCCTGTAGCATTGCCTAAAATGTACACTGAGAGTTGCTAGAATATGAAGTTGGTGGTCTCTCACTGGTGGTTTTTAAAGCTATTTGGAGACTTAGAAAGCATATACAGGCAGGATTATAAGAGAATTCACTTGGAATGGAATATGGCTGGTAAAACGAGGTACGAAACGAGTCTTTCCCTACCCAATATATATTGAGCGTGGCCAGCTGCCCTCCCATTTCATAAGCAGCAAGTGCAGTTTATTCCTTTCTAGTGAAAAGCTCCAAGATATGTGTGTGTGTATCATCAGTGTTGTGCCAATGCATAGTAAGCAAATAGCAGTGTTATATAGGTGTTCAGAATAATGTGTGAGAGCACAGCAGAAGGTGTAGGATGGCAGCTGCTAACCTAGCCTTCATTGGTGCCTCCAGGCAGGGATTCTAAGTACTGAGCTAATACTTCTTCTCCCTTAAAGTACCGTATTTTTCGCTCCATGAGACGCACCTGACCATAAGATGCACCTAGTTTTTAGGGGAGGAAAACAAGAAAAAAAATATTCTGAACGAAACAGTGGATGTATGAATTTTATGGTTCATGCTGTGGCCACAGACATGTGATTTGACGGTGAGTTTGGGGTAGCCCAATGCAAAAACCCTGAGGATCCATGGGCTTTTACCTCCCCCCTCTCAGGCAGCCTCCTTTACCTCTAGCGTCCCTTATCTCTCTCCCCGATCGCTTGCCGATTAGCTACTTCCTTTCAACACTCCCTTCCCTCTTGTTTGTCTTAGTGTCTTTTCCTTAGCTGGAGCAGTTTTTTGCTTCACCTTTTCTCCTAATTTCTCTCCTCATTGCTTTAGTCTTCCTGTCTCCTCTCCTTGCAAGTTTGCTCTTTACCTCCCCCCTCCCAGGCAGCCTCCTTTATCTCTAGCGCCCCTTATCTCCCTCCCGATCGCTTGCCGATTAACGGCTTTGTTTTAACACCCACTTCCCTCTTTCAAAATAAAAAGCATGATCTGCTTTTTGCCCCTGGGCAATTCGGCTCCAGGGATCACACATTCGCTCCATAAGACGCATAGACATTTGCCCTTACTTCTTAGGAAGAAAAAAGTGTGTCTTATGGAACGAAAAATACGGTAAGTCTCTACTCATCCTAGAAAGTTACGAAGCAAAATGTGCAGGTACCTTCTAATCACCACCCGTGAAATGAACCAGACTGCTTGATCCTGCCCGCCTGTATATTTAGCCAACGGGTGAAGTCGGAGCTATGATTGGTGAGTTGAAGAAGAAGAAGAAGAAGAAGAAGAAGAAGAAGAGTTTGGATTTGATATCCCGCCTTTCACTCCCCTTCAGGAGTCTCAAAGCGGCTAACATTCTCCTTTCCCTTCCTCCCCCACAACAAACACTCTGTGAGATGAGTGGGGCTGAGAGACTTCAAAGAAGTGTGACTGGCCCAAGGTCACCCAGCAGCTGCATGTGGAGGAGCGGAGACGCGAACCTGGTTCCCCAGATTACGAGACTACTGCTCTTAACCACTACACCACACTGGCTCTCCAGTGTTTGAACATTAGGAATCCTTGGGGGCCTAAAGATCTGCTGTTTCCCCTCCAGTTTAGTACACTTTTCCTACTTCTGTAGTTCTTGGAATCGCCATACTTTTCCCTTCCTTTTTTCATAGCAAGCAGGAATGCATTTTTTCCCTGTGGTGGGTTTGTCTGAGATCAGGTCCTTGCTAGAAGTTAGTTTCTGCAAATACACAGGAGTATTTTGTGTTGGCAAATGCAAAATGTTAGACGATTCCCCTCACCGGGCGGCAAATGAAAATTTTGCAAATAATTTTAGGCATGTCTCCTGCTGTCTAGGACCAAAAGCCAGCCACTCATTTAGAATTCACTGTATAGTTAGCTTACAGTATAAACTGCTTTGTTAATTATACCTGACCTCTCAGCAACTTTCAGTACCATCAGCCAGGGTATGCTTCTAGGGTGACAGTCCGAGTTAGGGGCGGGTGGCACTACTGTGCAGAACAGTGTGCTGAGATTGTTCAGCGGTGCACCAGGATGTGCTGAGGGAACTGCAGGTCATGTTCAAGGTCTCATTGCTAACATGCAAAGCCCTGAAGAAGTCAGGACCAGGTTGACGGAAAAGACTGCCTGCTTCTGCTCAGACCTGTAAGATCACTTAGATTAGTCGTGGCAATTCTACTTGTGGCACCACACCCTACAAAATATCAGGGTGG